AGAGGCGCTGACTGACCCATGCATGAACTGCAGCATTTTGCCGCTGGCGGTGCGGGAGGACAGGCTACGTCAAGTAGAGTGCCTCCTGTTTGAGTCAGACCTGCCGCCCTCTGGTATCCCTCATCCGTGTTCCGGGAGACGGAGGGATGGACCGGCTGAGGAACGCGGCAGCCCAGGGCGCAAGAGGCGGTGTGTGGCTCACCCCTCTCACCAGGAAGTGGACACTTTGTGGGCGGAGGCGGAACAGCTCAAAGCGCTGCTGACCAGAGCCCCGGACGACCTGATCTCTATGAGGGCCTCAAATTCCGAGTTTCAGTCCATCGGAGAGGAGGGCCCCTCTCCGGGTCGTGGTGAGGGGCTGGTAGTGGAGCCCCCGGGCCTGGGAGGTCATGGAGACTCGGGGATGTCTCTCCATAGCTCAGCAAGCTCGGAGCTGGTGGAGGACCCCCGTCAGTTGCGGGCAATTTTGCGAGCGGCACTGGCCAGGATTGGACTGGACAACGTGCCGGTGGCTCATCTGGTGGGGAATCCTTTCTTCCGCCAGGCTCCAGCGGCTCCCCCGTTTCAGGTCCCACCATCGCCGGCCTTTGTGGAGGAGCTGCAGCAGTGCTGGGGGGACCTGAGGCAGCTCTCCCACCACGGTAGGGATGCCAGGACCCTGGCATCAATGCGGGACGCAAGAACCTACGGGTTGGACCACATGCCCCCGGTGGACTACTGCAACCTGTAGCCCTGGGACATGGTTCGAACCACCCAAGCATCCAATGCCTCATTGAGGGACAGGGTCCGCTGTCCGAGCACCTAGTGTGGGGTGACCGACAGCTTACTGTGCCTGGCTTACGACATCGGGGCAAGGATGGCGCGCACCAGAAATTTGCTGTCGGTGCTGTTGCTAGCTCAGTCCCAGATGCTGCAGTTGGGCGCAGCGGGGACGGCACTGGGCGATACAAACGACGCAGCCCTGCAAGCGTTTGGGCTGATGTCCAGGGAGCTTGGTCGGCTGTTGGGCACACTGGTAGTGGCTCGCTGTCAGGTCTGGTTGGCGCAGGCCCCGGTGTCGGATGACTGCCGACAGAGCCTGCGTGGACTGCCCGTGGTGCCGGGCCAGTTGTTCGGGCCTGAGGCTGAGAGGGCGTTGGAACGTCGGCGGCAGTCCAGACAGGCCGCAGAGGCCTGGAGTGGGCGTAGCAGGGCGGGGGTCCTCCCCGTGCCACAGTCTAGGCCACGAGGGGCACGGGACCCTCAGCGTCGGTTTCGTCCGGCCGCCCCCTTGCAGGTCACCCAGCAGACCGCGGCAGCGGCAGGGACTTGGAGACGCTATGGGGCAGGTCAGGCACCGCCCCGGGAATCCTCGGGGCAGGACAGGGGCCGCCGGCCCCCAGGGCCCCGAACAGGCGTCGGGACACGGCCTGAGGGCCGTGGGCCGGCGGCGGGCAGTTTTTCACCACAGCACCTGGCCCTCTGGGAGGCCCAATGGGGAGATGCTTGGGTGGTTCGAACCATGTCCCAGGGCTACAGGTTGCAGTTCCGCCGTCAGCCCCCACCCCCTTCGGGGGTCAGGGTGACTTCGGTCACAGATCCTGCATGGGTCAGCATCCTAATGCAGGAAATAGATGGTCTCCTGGACAAACGGGCCATAGAGGTCGTTCCGCCACATTTGCAGGCGGACGGCTTTCATTCGATGTATTTCTTGGTACCAATGAAGGACGGGTCCCTGCAGCCAGTACTGGACCTCAGGGGTCTCAATCGGTTCCTGAAGGTGCTGCCCTTCCGCATGCTTCAGACTCGCGATATCCTTCAGGTGGTTTGTCCAGGGGAGTGGTTCACAACAATAGATCTCAAGGACGCGTACTTCCACGTCCCGATCCATCCGGGGCACAGGAAGTACCTGCGGTTTTCTTTCCTCGGGAGGGGGTACCAGTTTCTGGTTCTGCCAGTCGGCTTGTCTCTCGCCCCCTGAGTTTTCACGTGGTGCGTGAAGGCAGCCCTGAGCCCCCTGTGTCAGGCGGGGTTGAAGGTCCTGCCATATCTCGACGGCTGGCTTGTCTGTGCGCCGTCGTGTCGCGAAGTGGGTCTGGTCACGGCCAGTGTCCTTGCCCATGTCGAGGTGCTGGGGCTGACGGTGAACCTGCAGAAGAGTTCTCTGGCTCCGACTCAGCGGGTGGAGTTTATTGGCATTGCCATAGATTCTGTGGCCAAGCGGGCGAGGCTGGCCGAGCAGAGGAGGGTCCGGATTCAGTCTTTGCTCCGGGCCTTTCGCCTTGGGGCAGCACCCCCGGTCCAGGTGTGGCTACGACTGTTGGGGATGCTGGGCTCGGCTTCTGCACTGGTGCCTCTCGGGCTGCTCCACCTTCGGCCCTTGCAGAGGTGGTTCAACGGCTTCTGCCTGGATCCCCGGCGACACCGATGGGTCAAGTTGGAGGTCACGAGCATCTGTGTGGCTCTTTTGCGTCGTTGGGACGATGTCGCCAACCTGAGTCTCGGTGTCCCGCTTGGCGCGGTCCCCGCCAGGTGGGAGGTGGTCACAACGGATGTGTCACCCCGGGGGTGGGGGGCGCATTGGCAGTGCAGGTCGGTCCGGGGGTTGTGGAGCCCCCGCCAGGCACGGCTTCACATCAATGTCCTGGAATTGAAGACCGTCTACTTGCCGCTGAGGCGCTTCTTGCCCTTTATGCGGGGCAAGCACGTGCTCGTCCGGACAGACAGCACCTCGGCGGTGTTCCACATAAACCATCGGGGGGCATTGAGATCGTTGAGGGAGGCTCAGATGCTGTTGACCTGGGCTTACCCTCGCTTGGCCTCCATCAGGGCGCTTCACCTTCCGGGGTGGAGGAACTTGGTGGCGGATTGCCTGTCTCGGCGGGGTCTTCCCCCGGGGGAATAGAGGTTGCACCCTCAGGTGGTGCAAAGGGTGTGGCATCAGTTCGGAGAGGCCCAGGTGGATCTGTTTGCCTCGAGGAGCAGCACGCATTGCTCCTTGTGGTTCTCCCTGGCAGAGGCTGACGCCCCGCTGGGGATGGACGCCCTCGCCAATGCCTGGCCGTTGGTTCGGCTGTACGCTTTCCCGACTTTCACGTTGATATTACCGACCCTCCATCGGGCGAGGGACTCGTCACATGAGGTCCTTCTGGTGGCGCCAGACTGGCTCATGAGGGTCTGGTTTCCATTGCTTCTCAGTCTGTTGAACGGGGAGCCGTGGCGGTTGCCGGCGAGGCGGGACCTCCTGTCTCAGATGGAGGGGAGGATTTGGCATCCGTCCCCAGATCATCTTCGGCTCACGGTGTGGACATTGAGGGCGGCAGGCAGCCCCCAGTCAGCTTAGAGCCCTCCATCCAGCAGGTGCTGGATAGTGCCAGGGCTCCGTCTACAAGGGCCACGTACGCTCGCTGTTGGCAGCGGTTCTCTACCTGGTGTTCCGGCAGGGACGTGGACCCTGATTCTTGTTCCCTGCATGAGGTTCTGCGGTACCTCCGGCACCTGTTTGACAAGGGCCGGGCTGCCTCGACCCTTAAGGTACACCTGGCGGCTATTTCGGCCAACCACCTCTTAGTGGATGGCAGGAGCATTGTGGCTCACTATTTGGTGACCCAGTTTCTACGGGGCGTGAGAAGGTTGCATCCTCCCTTGTGCAGGCTGGCACCTGCTTGGGACCTTCCCCTGGTCCTGCAGGCCCTGTGTGGGCCACCCTTTGAGCCGATGACTACCGCCCCGTTGGAAGTGCTAACGGTGAAAACCGCCTTTCTCTTGGCAGTGACAACGGCTAAACGGGTCAGTGAGCTGCACGCACTGGACATCAGCCCCGCCTGCCTGCGGTGGAAGGCAGATGGGTCGGGTGTGACGCTGTGGCCCAACGTTGCCTTTCTTCCCAAAGTTCTGCCCTCTGGCTATGTAAATGCCGCAATCGAGCTGGAGGCGTATTTCCCTCCCCCATTTCATTCGGAGGGACAATGGCGGGCGAATTTGCTGTGCCCGGTCTGGGCACTGCAGCTCTATATTGTGGCCACAAACACTGTCCGGCAGTCGAACCAGCTGTTTGTCATGGAGGGGTGAACAGGGGTCGAGTTCTTTCGAAGCAGAGGCTGTCGCATTGGGTCATGGATGCCCTTGCCATGGCTTATGCGGCAGTGGGTGCAGTGGCTCCCCCTGGGATCATGTGCCATTCCACAAGGAGTGTTACTACATCCCGGGCGGCGATGAGAGACGTGCCACGGGCGGATGTCTGTGCGGCTGCGTCCTGGGCAACTCCGTGCACGTTTGCACGCTTCTACCACCTCAACGTTGGCCAAGGGTCCGTGCTCGCTTCGGCGGTGCTGTTTCTGGCGGCTACCTCCTGAGTGGGGGTAAGTTTTACATTCCTCGTGACACTGCTGCCATAAGCCATCCACTCCATTTACTGCCACTGGCAGTCAGGAGGGAACGAAACAGAACGGAAGTTACGGTGTAACTATGGTTCTGTGAGTTCCTGGATGACTGCCAGTCACAGGGGTCACTCGGAACTTCTCGGGCGAGAAGATCCCGGGAGACCCGAACGTAGTTATCGGCGCATAATTTATAAACTCGCGACCAGGTGCGCTACGTGTCACGTGCGTGACTTTGTTTACATTAGTACTCGACCTGCGCAGAGCGTGAGGAGATACATCCACTCTGTTTACTGCCACTGGCAGTCATCCAGGAACTCACAGAACCATAGTTACACCGTAACTTCCGATCTGCCACTAGAGCATGCAAGAGTGCTGCTAACAAAATGTGTTTACTGGGCAACCGCGGAAGAAGAAAAGAGCTCGTCACATGACCTAACATGGTTGGCTGGTTTCCGGCTATTATCTATTAAGGGGCATCAATAACCGGTTAAAGAAATTTTGGAGGATGTGTATCCCTAGCATATATGCTGATCATTGAAATATTAACTAATATTTTTACAACTGTGGTCAGCATTTGCAAAGCAAACAGTCCCTCCAAACCATTTTAAAACAAAGGATGTCTGCATGTGTGATACCAACCTGAAGGAGCCCCGACCCAAGCTAAACCAAGCACACCATCATCAAAGTCCCTGTCTGTGAAGACATAGGCAAGGCAGTAGTCATCGTGGTTCTGCTCAGAATTAAGCTCCAAGAACTTTTCCACCCCAATGTTGGGAAAGCGAAACGGATTAGTTAACTCCTTCTCATCATCTGTGGTGTTGATCTACATAAATGAAACCAAAAAAATAAAAGAAGGAAAAGTGTCAGTAAACTCCTTAATGTTCAGTTTACTCACAATAGTTGTATGTCGGACATTTCAGGTGCAAACATCCAGAATTTTGGTTTAATCTCTGTGAAACTGGACTTACTCTGATCCGTTTAACCATAAAGCCAATGTTTCTGATGCCCATGAAGTCTGTGCCTTGGTAAATGGTGTTGACGGCTTTCACGTGGCTGGAAATCTGTAGAAAATATCACTGATTAGAAGAGCAGTAAGTAGGTATGGGTCGTCAAGTACCCTCAGCATTAACACCAAGGTTTTAAAATATTAAAGGTGTGAATTACTCATTTAATTATTACATTTGCAGTAGTCTCTAGTAGGAATGAATGCCTTGTAAGCAAAATTTAGGGCAAAAAAAGCCCACCAACCCCTGGCGCAGCAGGACCAGTCTGCGAGTCTGAGCTGCTTTAAACGGGAGGATTTGGAGTCTTATTTCCTGATATTCTGACATCTTGGCTCCAATTTGATAAAAGCAACATGACTCTACCACTAACTCTGTTTGCTCAGGGACATGGATGTTTCATCTCCACAAATAAGTCTGGAGGAGATTCAGTCGTGTGCTTGAGTTGCTAATGCTAACGGTTAGATTCTGTTGAAAGAGACATTCTCTACTGATTCTGGATGCTAAAACAACAACAGCATTCCCCGTCGTGAGTTAATATGGGTAAGTCCAGTTCACAGTGTGACGTAGAGTTAGGGCTGCACGATATTAGGAAAACCTGCGATATTCGATAACAGTGCTTAATATTGCGATATCAATATTACTCACGATAAATGAACAAATACTAAAGTATGCAGTGTTGATAATAATAATAATAATAATACATTTTATTTCAAAGCGCCTTTCAGGACACCCAAGGTCACTTTACACAAAACACGTAATAAAATACAATAAAACAATAATAGAACCCAAAGAAGAAAAAACAGAGAGAAACATTTCAATAAAATCAGAGGTTGTAGGCAGATTTAAACATGTGTGTTTTGAGTTTTGTTTTGAAAAGGGTAAAACTGTCGACGTTCCTGATGTCTGGGGGAAGTGAGTTCCAGAGTCGAGGAGCAGAGCGGCTGAAAGCTCTGCTCCCCATGGTAGCGAGACGGGCAGAAGGAACCGCAAGATGGATGGAAGAAGAAGATCTGAGTGAACGGGATGGGGTGTGAATACTTATAAGGTCTGAGATATATGGAGGAGAGAGGTTGTGGATTGCTTTGAAGGTATGGAGGAGAATTTTGAAGATGGACCTGAATTTAACTGGGAGCCAGTGAAGCTGCTGGAGAACCGGCGTGATGTGGTGAAAGGAAGGGGTTCTGGTGATAATACGGGCTGCTGAATTCTGGACCAGTTGCAGTTTATGAAGGAGTTTGTTGGGAAGACCATAAAGAAGTGAATTGCAATAGTCGATACGGGAGGTGACGAGGCTGTGGACGAGAATGGCGGCAGTGTGAGGGGTCAGTGAGGGACGGAGACGGTTTATGGAACGTAGATGGAAGTATGCTGACCGAATTAAGTTATTAATGTGAGCCTGAAAAGAAAGTGAGCTGTCGAGAATGACACCCAGACTCTTGACATGAGGTGAGGGGGAGACTGTGGCGCTGTCAATAGTTAAAGAAAAGCTGTCAGATGTTGAGAGGGTGGAGTTAGTGCCAACAAGAAGAAGTTCAGTTTTATTGCCGTTGAGTTTGAGGAAATTAGAGGTGAACCATGATTTGATTTCAGAGAGGCAGAGTGTAAGGGAGGATGGTGGGAGAGTTGAGTTGGGCTTACTGGAAATGTAGAGCTGGGTGTCATCTGCAAAGCAGTGAAACTGGATATTGAATTTGCGGAAGATTTTGCCGATAGGGAGGAGATATACTATGAAGAGGAGGGGCCCCAGGACAGAGCCCTGGGGCACACCTGACTTGACTGGGGAGGGTTCTGAGGTAAAGGATTTTAACTGGATGAACTGAGTGCGGCCAGTAAGGTAAGATTGAAACCAGCTGAGGGGGGTGTGAGTGATGCCTAAGGAAGAGAGTCTATTGAGGAGGATGGGATGAGAAATGGTGTCAAAGGCCGCACTCAGATCGAGGAGAATAAGAATAGAGATTAAACCAGAATCAGCAGCAATGAGTAGGTCGTTAGTGATCTTGATGAGAGCTGTTTCTGTGCTGTGGTGGGGACGGAAGCCAGACTGAAACTGTTCATAAAGGTTATTGCGGGTGAGATGTGAATGGAGCTGAGATGCAACAGTTTTCTCAAGGACTTTGGAAATGAAGGGAAGATGGGAAATGGGACGGAGGTTATTGAAATCATTGGGATCTAAACCAGGTTTTTTTAGAATAGGGCTGACTGAAGCGGATTTGAATAGGGATGGGACCGTACCAGAGGATAGTGAGGAATGAATAATGGCTGTTATAAAAGGGAGCAGAGAAGAAAGGCACGATTTAACTAAAACAGTTGGAATAGGGTCCAGTTGACAGGTGGAAGGTTTGGATTTGGTGATGTAATCTAATATTTCTGAGGGATGGGGAAGTTCAAAGGAGGAGAACGGAATGGTGGGTTCAAATAAATCAGGAGAGGGAGGGGAGGAATGAGGTAAAGAGAGATGGATTCTATTGACCTTCTCATTAAAAAACTGAATGTCGATGTCGTCTGGCGTGTGACGTCTGCTCTGGATTCAAAGCAAACAAAAACTAATGCATGAATTCCATTACAACATAACATTTTTATTGCAAAAATATGCAGCTGCACCTGCTACTGTATTAGCAGCAAAACAGCAAACTGCATGCATGCAGTTTCTCAGTGACTTTAAAACATCACCTCCACCATAAAACTTTTTCTGATGCTCCAAATTCAGAAAAACATCCCTGACCAGGGTTTTTTGAATAAATAAATAAAATCCGAAAGTAAGTTTAAATGTTAAATAATAGTTAACATCACTTAAATGCAACAGCAAATTCTCTCATTGCTACTGAACATTTTCTCCACTTATGTGGTTATGATATAAGGCTGTTGCTGTAATTAGGAAGTGATCTGTGCTGGGCCAAACTAGGAGAATATTAAGATTTTCTGAGGGAAAGAGAAAAAAAATTGCCTACCTTTCAGAAGAGGAACTGGCAAAAAAAAAACTACAGTACATGGAAAATATGTGAAAATGTTTGTTTTATAACCCCAAATTGAACAAGTTTACCTAGATCTTAAAAAGCAGCTCAGATGATGAAACTGCAACTATGATTCTGATAACAAGCTAACAAATTGAACTAGCTCCTCTTAAGATAACCGGCTAGCAGAGCTTCTAACTGACAGTTTATGTGCAGCAGCAAATCAACTATCCTGAATAACAAGGTTATAAAAGCTCATAAATGAAAAATCACTTTGATGTGTGGAGGGGAACTTTTCCAGGCCCTCTATAGCAGGGTGGGACTGGGAGGAGAGTGCTGTAGCCTTTTAGCTGGAAGCTAACCGGAGCCTGGGGCTAACATCACCACCCAGTGGAACACTAGTGACATGGAGGTAGGTGGGTTCACCGGCACGTGTCGGGGTCCGCCCGGTTATTATCAGCTGCTTAACGACACCGAGCGGACTCACGTTCACGTTTGAAAGCAGCGCTGATTCCAGAAACCTCAGCACAAAGTGCGTTCTTAATCGGAGCCAGCATGACGAACAAGGGAAGCGAGCGGCAGCAGAAAGCGGGGGCGGAGCGGAGCAGAGATAGTGGAATTTTGGGGTAAGGATCTACGTGGGGGGCGGGCGTATTACGTGAACGGACCCATCTGATTGGCCGCATATCAGAAGGGCTACATTTAATTGGTCAAATAATACTTCGGCGTAAAAAACAGAGCTGGTTTACAAAAAGTTGATGCATGACATGGATGAAAATGTTTGAACCAAACATTTATCGCCATTTTTGACGTGCTTTGTGATGGGCCTATCGCACGTCCTGTTATTGCGATGACGATGATTTTTCGATATATTGTGCAGCCCTACGTACAGTGGTCAGCATTTTCAAATCCTAGAGTTTTACCGTCTATGTTCTATCAGAAGCTAATGGAGGAGATAGTCTCTTTCACCTATTTTCATTCAGCCTGTATGAAAAAGTGACCAATTATCATAAAAAATAATCATTAAAAATATTTTTTCTGTGTTCCACACCTTTAAGACACCAGTTTAAACCTATTACACATAACACAGCTGCATGAAATGTAAATTAAAAACTGCCTCACTTCTTTCTAATGTTACATTTGGAGCCTGATGAGTCGATGTTAGCTAGCAGAATGCTAACAGACATGCTAACTTTCTTAGCTTGTCAGAAGCATTAATTTCAAAACGTTTTATACTGTGAAAAGATATTCACATTATATCAATATTTTATGAAAGATTTCAAATCCACATCCAGCATTGATGCAGAAATCATTCCTATTACGGCCGATCCAGTTACATGTTTTTTTTAGTATTACTGTATATGTGTTTTCTGCAGTCTCAGATGTAAAATTCACCTACGGTACCTTCATTTGTTTACCTGAGCAATGACAGCATCTCTTGAGCGATAGTATTTATAAAAGAAGTGATCCGTCTGGATGTAGAGCTGGCAGGTATTTTTCTCTTTCCCTGCTGCCCGTTTTTTTCTCAAGATGACCGGACCACTGGACCCATCATCTTCCATCTCCATGTTAACACCCTGTGCAGAAGAAAAGTTGCTATTTCCAATATCTCAAGAGGTCTGCAGCTTTTTTGATGAGGCTTTACCACAAAACATGATCAGCTGTGAAAATGAAATAAAAGCTCTTGCTGTGGCCCTAAAGACGGCCTGGAATAAGATTTGATCTTTTAATTGCAAGACGCATGGCATGTCCATCTGTGCATGTCACCATGAGGACACAAGGGTAGTATGAGGGGGGGCTGGCACTTACTTTGCCTGCATCCTGAACAGCAGACGCCTGATACTTCTTCATTCTCTCAAACACAGAGTGGTCAGCGCAGCCTCCTTCTGAGCCATACTTGTGGGGATAATCTGGCAGACAGGGATGAGATGTGAGAATGACAACTCTGTGCTGACGGAAACGACTAAACAGATGCTGTAAGTAAAGATTCAAGCACTGACAACGTGTTTCTGGTGTTGAGGCTGAAAAAGAAGTCTTTGTTTTCACAGTGAATGGTGTCTTAGTCAACTGCTAATCAAAAGGCCTTAGGATTTTGGGCAGAAGTACAAATGGAAAAAACAATCCCAGAAAAACAACAAAACAATACAAACATCCATAAGAGTCATTTAAGAACAGCCTGATTCTTTGAAGTTAAACTTGCTTAGCTAAAAAAAAAAACACTGAGGTTCCTTTGAAAAAATAGTTTACTTTTAGCACAGCTGAATATTAGACTACTTCTATAAAAAACATATTTCTCTAAATTAAACAAAAGCACTCTTAGGAACAACACACTGGGTACATAAATTAACCGTTTGATTCAGTTTACATTCGTCCAGATGTCTGATAATCCATTAATGCTATAAGGTTTTAGTAGATGAACAAAACCAACATCCTCTCCGTAGTGGAAACCACATACACTTCCTGTAACCTTTGAAAACGCATCAGAGCAGACTAGTTTCATTGCATAACATGATTAGAATATGAATATGCACATCCACACTTTAGATCTGTGAAAGCCAAATATCTGCTGACTCAAAATCCAGTAAAAGTTAAAGTAAGAAAAGACAATTTTTCAGTTTTAAGTTCTCTAAGCTAAAGTAGCAAATATGTGAAATAAATTGGCTTAAAAGATTTTTTATGCCTCTTAACAACGTTTTAACATAGTTAGTCTATAAATATAGAGATTAAAAATAATTAATTAACTAATTAGATGACAAAAGTTGTCATTTTAAAGCCAACCATTCACTGCCATTGACGACTAAAGTCGTCATTTGCGTTTTTTTACTGTGTGGGCGTCGGAACGAGCCCCCGCACCGTGAGAACAAACAACCCAGCTCTGAAGCTGATCTTCATCCGCATATATCACGTGATCAGGAAACAGAAAATCCAGAAGATCGTTTTTGGGCCGCTGCTGCAAAAAAAAAAAAGTAGGCACGAACTGGAAAAGCTTCTGCCGATCACAATTCGACAACGGATTGTGAAAGAACGGATAACGCTCGAAAAGCGCAGATTTTCCCTAATATAAGAGGTGAGTCTCCTCTTTGTTTTTGGTAGTGATAGAAAAATTATTCATGTTTTCATTTATCATGCTTTATGCTTTTATTATAATTAAAGATAGTTTTCATTTATCATGCTTTATGCTTTTATTATAATTAAAGATAGTTTTCATTTATCATGTTTTATGCTTAATGATTTTACCATTTGATGCTTAAACAGTTGCTGTATTGTTAAGTCCCCTCATGAGACTTTAAGAGTGTTAAAATCTGACCTAATGTGACCCAAATAGATCTGCTGGTCTGTCAGTTGCTGACTCGTGCAACTGCTTGCTACTCATCGTGTGATTAGACACTGAAAGTTCTTTGTGTAATAATGAATGCTCTTTGTTTGAAACTTGTAACAATTAAAGACTGAGAGCTGTTTTCGGGGGGAAAACAGCTCTTCAGGCATCTAACTAGGGAAGCTCCCAACTTGTAAAAAAATAGAGGTGCTCGGATTCCAAAGGCCAGAGTGGCGAGGGATTTCACACAGTGAGGTGGAGATCACACTGTGTTGTCTCTGTCATTCTCCTCGAGCTTGAACAGAATTCTTACTTTTGTGTCTCTTTCCTTGTGTTGTGTTGTTATACGGTGCCTTAGGTGCTTAAACCTGACAGGTAGTTTTGGCGTTGACATCATCACAGAGCGCAAAGTTCTGTGACTCTTAAAAATAAAGTGAAAATGCTGAAAAACGCTGGCAGCGAAGGGCTTTTCTGATCAGGAATCGGCTGGCTGCATTTGTCTAAAAACCTTCACCAATAATAGAGGTGTGAATCTTCACTTGTCCCCCCATTCGATTACGATTTCATTGATAAATAGAAGATGCCAGATAATTGCTTTTTATTTATTTATTCATTTTTTATCAAAAACGAAATTGACACAACTTGCCATCCCTCAAAAGCTCTCCATTCACAACAGGTTAGGACAAAGCATTTTAAACATTTAAGATTTAACAAAGTAAAACAATCTGTTTCCTCATTCAAAAGCCACACCTCAGGCTGAGAAAAACATGTTTTGCAAAAACTCACAAAATCTGAAAAAATACTGAAAACCTACAGGACACATAATGTAATAATAAAATACAAAATGGGTTCATATATGAATGTTTAATGTCTCTGAGCAGCTTTAGTCAAATATTTATGCCACAGTTCAAGGCTGTAAGAAATAACACCAAATGATATGTTTGACTTAGTTTGTTATTTTATTTGAACCCAGTGGTTCGTTTCTGAAATGTTGGAGAATGAATCAAGTTCTGTTTGATGCAGAAAATAATAATACATAAAACTAATTCTACACTTCCAATAATATTTAAAATGTGTGTTTTATTCTTTCTGATAATAACACCAGCAGAAGGCTGTGGGCTGGATTAGGAGTAAATTACCCAGCTGATGGATCTCCTTCACTAACCAGCTAACTAAAAACCTTTCCACTAGCCTGTCCTGTGTGACCCTCACCATGTAACCTTCATGTCCATGCTGTCTCTGGAGGAGCAGATAGGAGACAAGACCTCCTGTAACTTAAAATGAACCAAAGCTTCCTCCCAGCTTCTCTTTAAGCTGAATTTAACATCAGTTTATCATCATGAAACAAAAGAATTAAGTGAAACAAGAACTTCTATCTTCTATTTCTCTCTCCTTTTAACTACTTTGTGTCCCTAAGTAAAAGAGACAGACGCTGCAGCCACAGTCACTGACCCCGCCCCCTCCCCAAGACCAGACCTCCAGGCATCACAACACTCCGTCTGTGACTTTACTGCTCAACTCTCTCAGTTGCTGTGCGAGCGAGCGGAGCGGGCCGCGTGACAACCCGCTCAATTAACATAATTCACGGCCCAAATCCAACAGAACCGGTCTGGCTGATTCGGTTCCGATTCGGTCTCAGGTTACAACTCTAGCGCTCAGCCCTGCAGTACCACATTAAGGCGGAACCACTTGGTAAATGTGGAGGACGCTCACTCTGACAGATTTGGATGCTGCGCTGGTGCCGCAGTTAAAAAAAACAAAACTACATTCCACTATAATCGATTATGGCGTACTCTTCTATGATGCGGAATCGTTTATGTCCGCATCCCGATGCATCGATTATGTGATTATTTTCCTCAGCTCTAGGCAATAACACGACTCGGACCAAAATCAACAATTGAACCATCCAGTTGTAGGTCTCGCCAAACTACTGCACTTCCCTGGGTCCTCCACTCATTACACACTCACGTATTTAACAACATTACTGGTATGAGAGGTTCTCCGCTCAATAATATCTCAGGAGAATCAGTCGGCTGCTACCACTTAAATGTTAGGACAAACTACCAGAGTCCCAAAAAGATAAAACACAATTTGAAGTCATGGACAAAAAAAAAACAAAGACGCCTGGACCTAGAAAACGGCAACTGGTGTTTTGTGCTCTGGAAACATGGGTTCCAGTATCCTGCACATGGCCCAGGGATGATACCCGACGGGAGGGAGGGGTGTTCTGTGACCATGTTTGTGTTTAAATGCTAACTTGTTTGCAGATTTGCTATTTTAGCTATAAGTGTACTTACGGATGTCGTCTTCATGATAGATGACTGAGTGGAACGGTACATTCTTGTCCTCCATGTACCTCTCTGAGGGTTCTACATAATAAGTTCCTTGATGAGTTTTAATGAAGCCCTCAAAGCGTCCATCAACCACAGAGCCATGTGTCAGTGTGCCCTTTTCACCTGAGGAACATTAAAACAGGACATGCAGTAGTATATTGGTACTTCGGTAGTTCTTCATCTACAATAAACATAATAAAATACACCCATCTGTTCACACTCTGCTGGTTAAACAGCATTAAAAAACCCAGTTTTGTCTCAGATTTGTTTGAACTATACTGAAGACGTGCAGCAGGAAAGTGTTCAGACAGGAAGGAAGCAAAAGCAGAGGAAAAAATAGAAGGAAAGGTAACAGGAAGTTCTGTATGATTTGATTCATGACATACTGTTCAAATCACTATTTACACTTCTCACATGTAAATATACCACAGAGACCAAGACATCACCCAACAGACAACGCAGCGTCCACACAATAAAAAGGGAAGGTGCAGACTTCTCTTTGAAATGGAGAGGAAACAGCTGTTCTTACCAAAAAGTTCTCCACTGTAAATATGAGATGTGTCAGTGGGCGTCTCCTCTCCCGACACGTCAATTATGAGATCTGGAGAAAACAGGCTTGTATCTCTGCTCAGGCGCAAGTTAAAATGCCTAAAGAAAAAAATAGAAAAAAACGGTTAGCACCCAGAATAAACACTGAACATCTAAAGCATTTTTGTACCAGCACTGCAAAAGAAATTAAAGAAACTTTTAACGGTTTCACACCAAAAACCTCAGAGTTTCACTTTGAACAACAGAACATTGGGTAGCCTGAGACGAGATGATGAATTTAGCAGAAAAAGAAAGACGTTTTTTTTTTTCTTTTTTTTTTACTGAGGTTTAACACTCTGCTTGTGCTCAGAGCTGCTAGGCTCAGCAAATAAGTGCATCAGGAGAAAATGCGAACACTTCAGCTCAGACACAATCATTTTTGTTTTTCTGTATCAGTCTAGGTGGAGGAGTGATGTCTAAGAAAATTACAAAAAAATCACCAAACACATGAGGCCCACTTGAGCCACGAGCTTCTCAGAAACTTGAAAAGACATAATGCTTGAAATGACCAAAAGACTCTCCGCTCGCCAGAAGACTTAAGAAATCACATGAGTTTACACCACATGACTCAGCTGTGTGACTCAGACTGACATCTTATGCGCTGTTCCATTTTCATGTTTTTTGGACATTGTTTTTTGTTATATTTATTTATTTAAAATGAATGTGAAATGTTTATTTTTCTACTTAAATTTGTGCAGAGAATATATATCTAGATGAGCTCCACTCATTGTCGTCCGCTTATCCGGGATCGGGTCGCGGAGGAAGTAGCCTGAGCAGAGAGGCTCTGACTTCCCTCTTCCCAGCCACTTGGGCCAGCTCCTCCGAGGGAATCCCAAGGTGTTCCCTGGCCAGCCGAGATACATAGTCCCTCCAGCGTGTCCTGGATCTTTTCTTGGGTCTTCTCCCAGTTGGACGTGCCCAAAAAACATCACCAGGGAGGCATCCAGGAAGCATCCAAACCAGATCCAAGCCACCTCAACTGGCTCCTCTCTGTGAGCTCAGACTTCATAAAATATCTTTGATACAAAAACAGAATATGATACACCTGATGAGGGTTCAGTGATATCATAACTAATGAACAAGTCCAGTCTGATGTGTTAAAGGAGACAATGAGTGAAGGATGAGTAGAAAAAAGCACTATGTAACTATGCACTATGCATCTTGCGGGTCACTAGTTGATAACAGGCATAAAAAGTCACTATAGAGCGGTGAAGTCGACTAGTGACTAGTTCATACAACCCCTGCTACTGCTCCCCAGAGTGTTCTGCAGCATAATCAGCACGTTCTCTTTGAACTTGATATCAAATTTTCACCTCCTCTTCGTCTCTGCACGGTTAAAGTTACCCTCGCGGTCTATCACTGGCAAATCAAAAGTGAGACGGATGACACAACCGCCCCCCGTACTTGCTTGTTACCACATTCCACCCGGCCACAATAAAAAAAACGGCCATTATTCACCTCCACCGACTCTGACACCGGCCAAAATATGATACCCGGCAGTTAATTGAATACAGGCCAATATTAGAGGATTTACGGTAGTCTTCTACACCCATCTCCTGCTATAGAAATCTCCTGATAGAAAATAGACTGTGAAACTCCAGGATTTGAAAATCCTGACAGATCTACGTCACACTGTCACTAAACATTCATGGACTTATCCATCTAGACTCATGACGGGGAAGGTTGTTGTTGTTGTTGTTTTTGTTTTGGTATCCAGGAAACGGCAGAAAACGTCTCGGCTAGTGGAAGCTAACCGTTAGCATTAGCAACTTCACCACACGGCAGAAGCTCCTCCTCCTGTGTTTTTTGTGGAGATAAAACATCAACGTTGCAAAGCAAACAAAGTCAGTGGTAGAGTTGCGTTGCTGTTATTCAATCGGGGCGAGATGTCCAAATATCAGCAAATAAGACTCCTTATCCTTTCGTCTGAAGCTGCTTTCTCCTCCGGCCGATTTCTGACCCAGAGTACAACACACAAAGCATTTGTTCCTACTAGAGACCGCTGCAAACGTGTTACAAATACAAGTGAAGGACGTCTTTAATGTTCATGTTTCTAGAACAAAGCTGAAACGTTTAAAAGTGGCACAGCAATCTTTTTTCAGGCACAGCATCATTGCAACTGAAGCAAAGAGAAAAAGAAAATGATGAAAAGTATTAAACAGCCTCAACACTAGGAACAATGAAACATGATCCACTGTTTGGAGTACAGATCTCCTGCCTGTTATCGCACCACACCCCCCTGGCCGGTCTTGTCCCGTCATGTGACCCGTATTCATGTGATATAGAATTAAACAGCAAGGCTTTTCACTTGTTACAACAAGCAGCTATGCTGCTAAATAGCCTACTCTGAGTTTCCACAAAGGGAAGACTGTCATTGTTTGCACTCACCAGTAAAAGCAAACAGGAAATGATGCTATCTTTTAGTTGATTTCTTTAACCCTTCAGTTTTCCTATCAGGTGACCCCGCCAGGACAGGGGGTGGTTTAACAGGGTTTAAAGTTTACACCATAGCAGGGGTGAAATGATCCACCCCTTAAAAAATATTAAAATAAAAAATACACCAGAGGTCCATCTGACCCCATTTACAATGCGGGAGGGTAGGGATGCACCGATCAGGTTTTTTGTTGCCGATCACCGATACCGATATCAAAGAATGCTGATCACCGATACCGATCACGTGGATTTGCCAGAAATTTTCTACAACATTATAATGAGTGCTACAAACGACATAATCTGGGAATAAAGGAAATGCAACCTAATCTAAAATGGTCTGTATTAGGGTTGTCACGGTGTGAAAATTTAACCTCACGGTTATTGTGACCAAAATTACCATGGTTATTGGCATTATCGCGGTATTTTTTTTAAACGTGCTACATTTTCACACAATTAAATAAACCCTGTATGTCAGGAAATATTGTCCTCAGTTTGTGTCTAAATTTGGCCTAAAATGTGTTATTTTGTAATTATGTTGTTTATTTGTTTACATTTTTTCCATTTAGTCTTTAAAATACCAATATTCGCCCATAACTTCTTATGTTGTCTGTTTGATGTCATCATTTTAAAAATATTAGTTCAGATGATACTCAGTACTCAAGTAGCCTTCTAATCAGATACTTTTTTACCCTTACTTGAGTAATAAACCCTATATCAGGAAAATATTGTCCTCGGTTTGTGTCCTTCCAGTGAGCTTTGCAGATGTGGGAAAATGTCATCAGGCAGTAATCATTGTTAAATTCATAATTATTCTTGGAGAGAGACCAACTCTTATCTGCCCCTGGTAGCCCCGTAATGCATAGCGTCATTTCAACATGGGGGTGTCCGCGACACGGTTTATATGCAGGTAGTGGCGCTGCGGCTGCTTTATATAGCGACTCGTTGCATTCTCCCTCAACCTAAATCCTCGGATCACGCATTTTAGCTAAAAACGCTAACGTTAACGTGCCTTGCGTTGACTGCAGAGTTGTGGGTGATGGTCACGCAGATGTGTCATGAGATTTGAAGCGTTGCTGCCTTTCACAGACACTTTTTCTGCATGTGCTGCAAACAGGATAGCAGTCTTCTATCAGCTGTCCCTCGGCATTCATCAAATATCCAAAAGATGCCCATACTTCCCACTTTGTCTTCTTTGAGGGATAAAAAATGTCCTCCTGAGCGCTGCCGTCTCCTCCTTTGGCCATTATTTCAGCTTTAGCTTCAAGAAAGTTTTGGTTGTAAACAGCAAAGCGCACATGTGCCGCCGGTCCTGCAACTTCAGCAGATGATACGGTGGCTGGTAAGGGTCACCGCGCCTACACCACAGCCACGGTAAACCCACCAAGATGATATAGTTTTTTAAAAAAACAAGACGGTTATTATTATTGTCAACTTTTTTTTTACCGGGGTTTACCGCTACACTGGTTACCGTGACAACCCTACCTGATCGGTCTGCTTTGATCTATTTTGAAAACTCTGATCAAAACCGATAGGGGCGCTATCGGCCGATTACGATCAAATGCCGATCCATCGGTGCATCCCTAGGGGAGGGTTAAATTACTTTACTGCTCAAACTGGGTCAACAAAGAATATATTCTATATTTGAAAAAGAGAAAATAATGAGCATGTTTTGTTTATTGCTTAGAGTTAGTCACCCTCTAACCAACCTGGTGAACTGCATAAACGAGTGCCTAATGGTGTTGTAGACGTGTGCATTTATTATTTAGGCATTTTAGTGCATCTTATTTAAAGTGACAGTGTGTAGTTTTCTGGCGCTAGGGGGCAGTACATACATACATTTCAGGGTAGTTTTACACCATCTCGCTGTGACTGTCGCTAGTTTAAAAATACATTATGGTAAATGTTGTTACCTGTTGCAGAAAGCATGCAACCTCAGTGTGACGCATCAGAATTTGATGGTCCTTCAGTTAATTCCATCGAGAATGCAATGCCATTTGTAGTTTTATGGCGCTGTAGTTTCAGGGTGTGTTCCGGGTACTGCGCCTGACGATGACGTCATCATACTACGGCAATACCAAACGACCTAAATATGTTGCATTTCTTTTTCGATTCTGTACTTTCACATCAGTTTTGAAAGGAGTTCACCAGTTTTGTTTGTGAATTTGTGTTTCTTGCTGCCTAAATGTTTTTGAACAGGGTTTTAAGGTCCACAACGTCACTTTCGGCTACAAAAAAATGCTGACATCCCGTGTGCGACCTGTGTTTACACTAGCCGACAGCATGGATGCCCTCAGAGCTGCGCTCGCTTTATCAATTGTTCAAGCGCTTTTTGCTTGTTTGTTTTTGCAAGCGGAATTACTGCTCCTTGCGGAAGACCACAGACGAAGGACGAGGTTAAGAACGGGGGGGAAGTACTGCCGCCTGCAGGTCTGGCATGTCCTTAACAACGTATTTATTCGGGTACGTGTGGACAGAGTTTTTTTTTAAAAACGAGGTGGTGTGGATGCAAGTTTCTGGAGGGGCGGATATTCGTTTTTAAAAAAACCCGGCTACGTGTGGACTAGGCCTAAGTTTTCATGAACAAACCAACCTCTAAACCAGCCAACATTGCAATAAGAGGAGATTCCCTTCACTTTTGTTATTATACTCATGAGTCAGACCGCAACTATTTTGATTTGCTGCCTCATCGTTATCACAGCGTTGATCAAATCTGCACAGACAGGTTGTGGTACAGATTCTGTTACAGGCTGTTATCAGCAACACAACTGACCGGAACGACACACTGAGGTACATAACGGATGATAAAACATCAACTCTGTTACAAAAGCTTTTGTCTGAGCATGTAAACAAATGAAAAAAAAAGTCTAAAATGTAAAGGTGTTTGTGTTTTTCTGGCTGGTGAAGCGATGATTACGGTTTCTACATTCAAACAATTACAGGAAATAGCATATATATATATATATATATATATATATATATAAAGCAGAAGTAAACGATTTGCTGTATGAACTAAGTAAAAAGGAAAACCTAATATTATAATCCTTCAAATAATTTGGAACATTGTTGTGATTAAATGTAGAATTTATGATGTGTGATGTAAAAATATGCTTCCATTCTTAATAAAACATGACAATAAAGGTAACAATTGGTGTCTTCCAGTAGGGCTGGGCAATAAATTGAAAATGTATCGTTATCGAAATTTCTGACTCTTATCGAGATAAATGTACTGACATGGGAAAAATTGATAATAAAAAAAAATGAAAGGATGTGTGTAAGTCGGTAACATTCATGTCCCTTTAAGAAGCTGTACCACCTTGAGTCACATTCAAATGTGACTCAAAGTAATACACGTGACAGTCCCATCTAGTGGACAACTTTTGTTTCTGCGCATACCTGTAGTTATCCTCCATTTATCGTTATCGAGGTGAAATCCTCAAAATATCGTGATATTGATTTTAGGCCATATCGCCCAGCTCTGTCCTCCAGATGTGCAAACATACTAGTGCGCTACAGGATGTTGTCATTTCACAACAGTTAGGATTCAAATGACTCTTATTTACCCCTTATTGAAGTGTAATACATGCCTATACGAGTTTTTTTTTTCAATCAGTCAGATTTTATTTAAACAGTGCCTTCCACTGTCTTCACAGAAGCCACTGAGCAGTACATAAAACAATAGCCTGTCAAAATCAGGGTTTTTCCTGGCTCAAATTGAACCAGAGGTGGTACCATCCTGACCATGCACCAGCACAAGCATACTCTGTGCATTTAACTGCCTCACATTTTTTAAAGGCAAAATATTATAATAGGCTCAATAATATGCATTAGATTGGTGTTTAGTTCCTTTTTCCCATCTGATATTTATAGTTACAAATATTTTTAAATATTTGACCTACATTTCAGTAACATTTTAGGTTTGTATTAATAACACTCATCTTAGTCAAAATAATACATACATATATCCAGTAAAATACTGTATAATGCATTTCATTAACATTGCATTTGCATTGGAAATGGTAATAACATTTAATTGCTGGTGCTAACGATATCATGGTGGCATGTCTATTATGTACAGGTTAGGGTTAGAGGGGGTTCTGTTTTGCCTTGGCCCCCAAAATGCCTTGAAACGGCCCTGGGTGTGTGACTTAAGTTTTGAAGGTGATCTGAATTGTATCAGATGTATAAATATTACATGTGTATAATGTGATGTTTTATACAGCTAAAAACGTGTAGTGGAGATAAATCTACCTACATTTTACTTTCAAGCTTTGTTTTCTTGTTTTTATTTAACTATTTTCCTGTCCTGTCCGTCTCTCATTTTCCTGCATCTCCTCTAAACTCTCCAGAAAAACTGTTGCCTGGATTCTTACTTTTTCACCTCATCAGTTACTTTTGAGCAGATCAAAGGGAACTCCTGACCGCAAAGTGGAGTGCGCGTTTCGATGCTGCATCAGTGAAGTGAAATCACTGCAGCACACGATGAGTGGAGTGCGTCAGGAATGATTAAAAGACAGAGTACCAGAGGATATAAACAGATATGAACGATCATGTGTTAATAATAATGTTTTGTTGTGCCACCCTGAGAATGCATCGTGCGCCGGACGCAGCGGGCGCACCAACGCTCAACAGAATCCTGCTACGCTGAGAGTCCATAAATATTGTAATATAGGCAGAAACTGGATCTTTCCCTGAAAGATATCTAGCCCCATAACTCGATCCCCGCTCCTGGATGAAAAACCGGACATTTTGATCAATGTTGTTGAATTGTGATCGGCAGAAGCTTTTCCGGTTTGCGCCTCACTTTTTTTACAGCAGCGGCCCAAAATGATCTCCTAACACATGGATTTTCTGCTTCCTGATCACGTCACGTGTGACATATGCGGATGAATATCGGCTTTAGAGCTGAGATGTTTGTTCTCACGGTACGGGGGCTCGTTCCGATGCCCACACAGAAAAAGAATGCAAATGACGACTTTAGTCGTCAATAGCAGTGAATGAGTAAAATGCCTGCAATGATGGTGCCTGTTTAACAACAAGCAACAACTCATTCCTAAAAGTTGGTACCATCACTGAAAAGGCTCCACCCTCCCTTAACATGTGCTTGGAGCGACCAATGACTAACAACTCCCACTCAGCTGAGCAGTATGTAGCAATTCAGCCAGATATGGAGGAGAGCTACCCTGTAGTGAACTAAAAATATATAAGAAAATCTTACATTTTTCCTAGTAACACATTGGGAGACAGTAGTGATGGGTCGAGCAACACTGATGCGTCATCTGTATCCTTGTTTCACCCTGTTCCTCTGTTCCTGAACTTTGTTTCTAAGTGATTCTTTTTAAATCATCCATAATATTTTCTGCAGGTTAAATGTTGCTTTTGTTCAACTGATCTTTCATACATTAATAAAAGAATGCTGAGACATCAGAGAAATGCATGGAAAATGCATGCGGAAATTTGGCTGTCCCACCGGCGGTCAGAGCAGGAGGTGGGTTTGGGGGTGCAGATCGGACAGGCCCACGTTGTGTAAACGGCACAGCGGGACGTCAGTAGAGAGTCTTGCTATTAGGTCTGCCTGCAATGATGTTTATGATCCAGCAGGGGTCAGTAGACAAGTGACACAGTGCTGACACAGTATTGATACAGTTTGGGTAATGTGCCGAAACGCTTCACGAGGTCTCATCTACCCATCCCAAGGAGACAGTGCAGAGAAGCCAGCACAGGAGTAATATGCTACCCTTCCCTATTTTCTGTCAAAAATCTGGCTGCCACGTTCTGCACCAGTAGCAGCCTGATTCAGTCCAGCAGACACAGCACTGCTTAAACAACAAACAATTTATTTAAAAATAACAGTTATTGATATCTTCTGCACATGCACAGCTAAATTATTGAGAAAACTGTTCACACTAACATTTGACTACAGGAAAAGAAACACTTGTACAAAACTCATCAGCTGGAGCCTTTTGCCCAGAGAGAAACTGGTCATAAGGGACTATTATAACACAGAGAGATCGCTGACCAGCATGAATTTGTCTCTAAAGCCAGTCTCCTCCTTTAACTAACTACCTAACCTTTAACTAGGTTCAACCCTGAGAAAGGGTCATGTTCCTGTTGAGCTTCAATGGTGCTGAAAGGGTTACATTAACAAACACTTCAATCACAAAATCTTAAAAGAAATGTAATTAGAAGTGAAAATAGCCCTACATAAATACTTTTTAAGCCTAAAACTGCTTATTTTAGCACACTGAGCACATTTAAAACTATATTAGGAATTCATAAAGTGACTAGTTTCAGATTTAATGAACTAGATTTAGGAGAAAGGAAGAAATGTCAGTAAATGTTGCTTTAAAGTTAAATATTTGCAAAGGATCTACGGAAATAAAGCTGTGTGCGGTCAATGTTTGCAACATCAGAGAGATGTGACTAAAGCTTGCAAGAATGTGGCCAGTTTAGTCTTTTTAGTGTTAAATTACAAAAGTGTAGCTACTGTGGCCCTCAGGGAACGATGATTGCAGAGTACCTCGCCCAACACCTGTAAGTCCAGTCTGAAAACCCACTTAATGCAGAAAACAGATTTCTAACTAGTTTCGTTTTTTTACAGTCAAGTACAAATGAAACAATCTTGATTATCACATATGTGAAATTATTAGTTTTGCTTAACAAAAACAACTGTCACTGCCACCCAGAGACTACTGTGTTTGGCGTAAAACCCCGTCTTTATCCGGGGGCTCTGGTGTTTATAAAGTCAAGACGCCAATTCCAGTAATGAATTAAGCGGATTTGTTGCAAGGCAGAAAGACCGAGTAAACCAATAAGGAAAGCATGTGTGTTTACTGACCTTCCGTGTGCGTGGAAGTCCAGGTGCACCATCCTGTCCTGTGGAGAAAGTGCCCTCTTGGCTCTCTGATGACTGTTATGCAGAGTCTCTGTGTCATATGACAACCCCTCATAATGGCGAATGTATTTGTTTAAAGGGTTTCCAAACTGGCCTGAAAGACAATTCAGTTCAGTTTAGTTTAGGGAAGCAACTATTATTATTCAACAAACCCCAAAACATGGTTTCTAACTGAGCTTTCCGATTTAGGGAGATTTTACAGTTTCCTAATAAAAATGCACATGGAAAGGAACAATGTGCAACAATGACCAGCGACTTTACAAGCAACGGCTCCCTGAACATCCAGTAACAGGCTTATTCAGCTTAATGCCACGGACCACTCATGGTAATCCAGGCAACTGTTGTCTTTGTTCTTTTAACAAAGACACCAAAAAAAACTCAGTTTAAAGCCAAACTGAGGAGCATGTGATGCTCATCAGGTGACACGTTTTCAGAGTAAATCACATCACTGTGGTAGCTAAATGAATGAAATAGTTGCAAATCTTGTAAATAAAACACTGAATGCTACTAAACAAGCTAAATCTGTGCTGTATCTAAGGTTGTAATGTTAATGAAAAATAAGCAGACAATTATATGTTATCCAAAAACATTTAATTGTCTGTAAATAACTGTTCTGTCTTTTTTGGGGTGTTTTACTGTAACGGAGGGAAACTAATTTATTAGCAATGTGCATGAGGCTTTTGTAAAATAATTATTATTTATAAAGTTCAACAGGAATATGATTATGTATATCATTTAAAATGTGTTCTGCAGAGAACATGCATAACAAAACTCATTTATTGTTAAAAAAGCAAATGCTGGGAAACAATTTGCAGTTATTTTTTACAAGCCAACTTCACAAACCTACTCTACTAAAAGGGAGGGAACACATTTACACAATTATGGGGATAAGGTCATGACTAGCTGCAATAATTCAGGTCAAATGATTGATAAGTAATTGTGTCAGACCTAGTTTTAGATTAAACTTTTTCTAAAGTTTCAGTTAAAGGAGACGGTACAAACTCTAAAGATAGTAAAAAAAAAATCTGAATCCAAATGCTTCTATGCTCAAATCACATGGTTGTGTTCAGGAGTTTGAACTTCCGTGTAGTGGGAGTTATGACTCCCCAAACAGGGAGAGGCTGTACCAGGCTAGCAGCAACTTGTTCATGAATGCAAACAGAAAGTACCCCGATCATCCCATGTAATACTTCCTTAGAAAAATGCAAAAAAAGGAAGCTACAGCCAGCCTAAGAAACAAAAAGAAAGGCATGAAGATGAGAGAACAAAACAACAATAAGCCAGGAAAGGAGTAAAACTAAACCCTGCCACCTAAGAAGCTGGGAGAATCCAGAACCACAGAGTTATTTCACCTAAATCAACAAAGCACTTAAAATGCAGACCTGTAAAGTTATTATAATTAGGGCTACTGTTAAGAATGTTACTAATTAATAGGAGCATGTAATGTGATTTTTGCACTTAAGCGGTAAAACAAATAAATCATGAAAAGGACATTTTTTAAAAACGCCAGTTCTGCTGTTATGCAGAGTTCTGGACATCCTCATGACGAGAGCCTCCTCAACAACAGGCTTTACATGGAAAATCAACTTGGTTTGTTTATACCCAGATTGTTCCACAGACATATAATAGTTTTCTACGTGTCAGATTATCAACTAAACAATATAATACTGGTTCTGAGTTATTGGTGTATAAACCCCAATGGGTTTCACACGCTGATAAGTGTTGTTTACATTTCTGTAATACTAAAAGGGCCCAGCCTCATTGCTTGACAGTAAAATAAATGTGGAAAAGTAAAACTTGATATATTTAAGTTCCTGTATTAATTTCTGGAAGAAATCTACGTTAATGTACAGAGTTACGTGAACGTTTTTGCACAATTGGACAATACTAATGTAGATCAATGAAACTAGGGATGCAACGATACCACTTTTTTCCAAACCGATACTTGGATCTGAGTACTCGCCGATACCGATTACCAATACCGATACTTCTACCATACATAAAAGGCAATGATTTGGAATACAGATTTTATTTTCTTCTCTGCACAGGAAAAGACTGTGAGGTAGATAAACAGTAAAATATATGAATGGAAATCATCACAAAACTTAAATATTAGGTGAACAGAAATGACAAGTTAGTGAAGCCATTTTCAAGCAACTGCATTGGTATCGGTTAACTTTTACCGATACCGATACTGGTATTGGCATCGTATCGGTGCATCCCTAAATGAAACATAAAACTCTAAATTATATGACACGTCATAATGGTGATGGTCCTGATGTAAATAGTGTAATGTCTTTCCTGGTTCACCTACTAATCTACTTATTTACGAGCAGTGTGGTATCTGGAATCTAGTTTTGAAAATGTTCACCTATCTTGTAGTTCCAGATTATTTCATTGATTGATCAACGAATAACTTTTGCTTCTGAAGTGTAGGTAGCATGGATGTCATTGACCAAGAAATTAAATGTATTAAACGCAGGTAAATTATTTGATAGCATACCAGCAGTAATCTGATTTTGAGTTACTAGGAAACTCTAGTTAGAACCAATAACTGTGCAAATAGGTTAGATAAGTTAGAACCAGCAAAAGTTAGCCAGCTAGCTAACAAGTTCTCTAGCAGAGTTCAACTTCATAATCCGATTAGCGCTATCACTGAACGCTTTCCTTTCTGACAGCCAGTGGAAAACTTACCTCTAATATCCCGTAGGCAGCAAAACATAAGAATTAACTTGACAAATGTCATATCGAAGTCCCGTTTAAATACTAATAAACTAGCTAAACGAGCCAGCGGGACTGCTGCACTTTTCTTCTGTTTCGCTTGAAACTTTAGTCGTCGTTCTTCCTTGTTAGCTGACTCCCATAACGAAAACCGGCTCTGCCTGTCTCCCTCCCTAAGCACGACGCCACACACAGTCAGACAGTAAGACGACAGACAGGCAGACAGATCCTCCTCCCTTCCGGTTTGTTTTGCAGAGAGAGAGAGCGCCGCACAGAGCACACTCACTAGTCCTAAAGACAATAACAAATCACTTGTTCTTCTTCTATTTGAGTGTTGACAAGTAACGTTGTGCTGCGTTACCGCCACCTACTGGCAAAAAGAGGAACAGAAAAATGACCCAAAAAGTAAACTAACTACACTTTGATTTCTTTTAATTTACCAATATTTCTGGTATATTTTACACGTAATCAATGTACTACAATAAAGTTTACCCATGTTTTTTTATTCAGGGTATCACTTTAATGCCACTTATTATTCAAATATTCCTTGTCTGTATTGTAGTTTCTTTTCACTCTGACACAACCAATAACCAAACCACAGCAAGATGTTTAGCAGAGTGAAAATGTTCTTCAGCACATTCCTGACCATGCAGGCCAGGAACATCTTCCCAGATGATTATCTTTACCTGCCTTCATTATACACTGCAGGATCTCCCTGTTAGGGGTGGTACAATTTCCAAATCATGCAGTAATTCACCTGGTCTTGAGCCTCTTGACATCTGTGTCTTGAGGAAAGTATTTTTGGCTACAACTGTTGACTGACTTTAATGCCGTCTGAATAAAAGCCTCATTTGACTTTTGATTTCACATGTCAGCAAAGTTCTGATAGTTTGCATTAAAATAGTATTTCTGGAGTTCACACATCTGCACCTAGACAGGGAAGGCACAACAAATGTTTCACTCAGGAAGTTAGAGCAAGCTGACCAACTTCTATTAGTTCTACTAGGGAACCTCCTGTTCAGTTTTCACCTGAAGTGAGCCACAGCAGCTCTGCTTCTAGAGCAGAACTTTAAAAAGGAAATGAAAAAACAGACTATGCTATCAACAATGTCCTAACTACAGCCTGAAACAAACATGCAGATGTATATGTATGTAACCAATGAAAACAACGTAGAATTGATTTCTCTTATTTATCACTGTTTGACTTCATGAAGCATTCATCTGAGTAAAGGGGCTTTGAGTAAAACATAGTAAAGTATTTTTTGTGTGTTTTAATGTCCAGAAGTTCATTGAAACTGAGATTAGTCCTTTGCAAGGTTTGCTATTTTCTGGAGGCAACTCCAGGTTACAGACATGCTTTCCATTGCAAATAACGGTACTATTTATGCAGAATCTGTGTGACTTTTCTCTTGACCAATGCTAATCTTCAAGTTTCCCCAGACCAGAACTTCCAGTGTGTGATCATCTCTCAGACGTAAGCAATACCAACCTTGCACACACTTTACCATTATTGTATAATCAAAATTATGCAATATGGTTCGAGTTTTGAATAAAATGTATTAAAAATACAGTAATTATTTTTGGTTTGAAACAACCCCACATAGCTCTGAACTACATATTTTTGCTGAATATCCGAAACAAATTTTAAACATAACCTGTGCTTATAAACATACAATAATTAAAATTTATAAAGTAATTAGCATTAATTTTCTGGATTTCTGCAAATATTTAGTAGTGGAGATTGGAAAAAAAAACGTAAATTTTGAGGTTGTGAATATGTTGCTGCCCTCTAGCGATATTAAGACGTTACTACACGTCAATCTGTTGGATGTTGCGTTTACGGGTTCGCGCTCGTTTGACAAGCTTATACCCAAGTTACGTAAAACTGTCAAGAGTTCACGACACCAACGCAACATTCTTATTTTAATTTTCAATAATAAAATATAAAACCTGATTAGTCGATTTGGATCCCAGGTGAATGACTAAAAATCAATTAAAGCTATAGCAGAAGGAAAATTACAGAATACCAGGACACCCAAATGCATCACGTGGACTCCGCCGCTCGCTTCACGCTGATGACGTCAGTCGTAGAGTTGTCATGGCGTCTTTGGGACCGAATGCGAAGCTACCGCTGCAATTTAGCTAAAATCTGTCGACAGCGCGTGTGTCGAAATGGAGAAAAATGCAAACCTGCATCGAGACGCTGACGGGAGCTCTTTGTGTACTACGATTGCAGATAAAATGAACGATGTTTCCGATGTAGACGGAGTGAAAGGAACAGCCGACAAATGCAAGAATAGTGAGGCTGCGCTCAGTACTTTGGTTAACGTTAGTTGTGATATCAGCGCCACTGATGGGAGTTCTGCAGGCAGCGTTGATGTTATCCACAATGCTGAGAAGTCTGATGTTCCGGAGGTTATCGAAGCATCTGTTGTCCACGAGGAACAAAAGAAGAACGTCGATGCGAGCCCGCCGAGGTCTGAAAACCAGATCAGTAACGGGATGGAGAATGAGTCGGTGCTGTCAGCAGAAGACAACCAGGGTGGTGCCTCAAAGTTAGTAAACAAAACCGACGAGCCGTCCTCACCCTCCGCTCGTGAGAGCACAGATGTCCGAGCTGAAGCTCCAACTTGCGGACAAAGTGAAGTGACAAAACTTGTCAAACCGACCCATCTGTGTCCGCCTGACAGTGTAGCCGACACACACGTTAAACCGGGTCTGTCCGGTGATCCCACCTTATTGGAGGGACTACCGAGTTTGAGTGACCCCGATCCCAGCCTGGGTGGTGAGTCCAGAAGCATCGACTCACTAGAGTCCTTCTCCAACCTGAACTCGTGTCCCAGCTCAGAGGGGCTGGAGGATCGGGGACTGGCTCTGGCCTTGCAGGGCGAGTTCGGATCGGATGGGACAAAGACTACGTGCGCTAAGGACCGGGCCGCTGGCCAGTCCATATACCACATTAAGTGGATCAAATGGAGGGAGGAGAACACGCCGATCATCACACAGAACGAGAACGGGCCCTGCCCATTACTGGCGATCATGAATGTCCTTCTCCTCGCATGGAAGGTAAATGCTCTGGGATTTGAAACCAAAAAAAAAAAAAAAAAAAAAAAAAAAAGTAAATGCTGAGTTTATTCTTGCGTTTTAGAATAAATAAAAAACATGCACAACTCTCTTCCAGGTAAAGATCCCACCAATGATGGAAATTATAACAGCTGAGCAGCTGATGGAGTATCTTGGTGAGTACTTGGAAATTGAAGTCACATCCTTGCACAAAGAAAACCGTGATGTTTATTATTTTGATACCTTATTTAATCGGCTTCTCTTGTTTTTGCATATATATATATATATATATATATATATATATATATATATATATATGTTCCATTAAAGAACTCCAAAATCAGTCTTTTTTTTAACACCTTCCAACAAGTTCACCCTTCTTACCACAGTAGCTTGCATGTTTTGGTGAACACTCCTGAGTCACACCTTCTCTGGTGTGTGGTTATATAAAGGTCAGCTGATCTATGCTGGTATGTTTACATGCAACACACATAATTTTCCTTCAGGGGTTATTAAAGGATCATTCGGTTCTGGATCCCAGAGCTGAGGAAGAGACCGGAACAGGGGGAATCCCCCATGAGCAAGTCTTCTGCTGCAGCACAGGAAATAGGAGCCATCTCCTGTCCTAAGCCCTGTCCTGTTCTTAATCGAGAATGTCCTCTAGTTTTTCAGTTAAGATGGTTTCTCTCTGTTGTGTCAGTTTGCATGTGTTAATGTTAAGTTTTCCCTCACAAGTGTGTCTATTCTGTGCTGTTAAAGGTGTGGTTCACTCATTTAATATACTTGTAGTGGTCTCTAGTAGGAAAGAATGCCATGTAAGTCATACTCTGGGCACAAAAAGCCCCAGTCTACCTGTTTCAGGATGTTTTATCTCCACAAATAACACAAGCCTTGAGGAGTTTTGCCGTGTTGTGGAGTTGCTAATGCTAACAGTTAGCTTCTACTAGGCCGAGATGCCGTCTGCTGTTTCCTGAACGCTAAACCAGCAACAGCCTTCCCATCCGGAGTGACCGATTAGAATCAGAAATAGTCATTAAAAAGAGTTTTTCAGTGAACCACACATTTAAAGGGATTTTTGAGTCACTTTGAATAGTTTTTTTTGCTGCAAAAGTTATAAATATTTACCATCTTATTTGTTGTAGATAGCTTCCCGAACAGCCTGTGTTTAAAGAAATCAAGTTTACATCTGACAGGAACGACGAGCTAACCCACCAGTGAAAATGGCTAAAACAACTTGTGTTTAAACGACTGTAACTTCTGTTTTGCTACAAAGGTCGTGAGCTTTACCCATGCAATAATTAGAGTTTAGTTTGTGATGTGTAATTTAGGATTAGATTAAATTAATTAGAATTATGAAGCAACAAGCACACATTGACAGCTTTTTCTTTTCATTCTCGATCCTTAAGTGTTTTTTACGTATTGGTGTTATTTAATTGTATTAATTTTTTTCTGTGGACGTCGTTGACGAGGGGTTGGTGGTATTTATTTTAGTTATTCCCGGGAAGTGATTTGACAGTGCAGCACTGTGCATTTTTCCTGTTCCTGATAAATTAATGATGCCCTGCAGAATGCTTTGAAGGATACCTGCTCCAAACCTCAGATAGATGAGTCGCCTGAATTAAAACTTTCACGGCTGCAGCAGGGATGCATCTGCACGACTTTTCTTGCCAAACTTGAAGTGTTCATCAGTGACAAACTACTCTCGATACATCCTATGCCCTTGTGTGCTGTGGTCTGCTGTGTTTGACTTTTTTCAACATGTCAACATGTGTGTCCTCCACAGGTGACTACATTCTTGAAACCAAACCCAAAGAGATCTCCGAGGCTCAGCGGTTAAACTATGAGCAGGTAAGGCTCGTCTAATGACTGGAGTGTTTTTGCGTAACCGTGTGCCTCACTGAGCTGCTGCCGGTTTGTGGTATGTGCAGTGCAGGGCTTTGAGGATGAGCTCATGTTCCTCTCTCTCCTATCACTATTTGTGGAATTTCTATTTGTTTATTGCCAGCTCTTCATCTCGCTGACACACTCAGAGAAAACCTCAGCTGTTTTCACTTCATCTTTTTTTTCTCCCATTGATGTCCCTTTGTGTTCATGGTGGGTGGTTTTAATGTTCTATGCAAACGTGCCTGGATGCTTTAGACCATTTGCATCTAGGCAACATAGGGCAACAGACACTCAGTAATATGGAAATACATACAGATGGGTGCAAACCACATGAAACTGTACCTTAGCTTTTTTTTTTGCTACTCCTCTAAGGGTTGCATAAGATGAGTCTTGAGAGGGTTGGGGAACAACAGGGGTCAGTAGTGTCAGATTATGTCGTTCCACATGGAGGCAAATGCTTAGAGACGCATGGCTGGGTCCAGCTCCAGGCTATTACTGAGGCTGTGTGTGTGTGTGTGTGTGTGTGTGTGTGTGTGTGTGTGTGTGTGTGTGTGTGTGTGTGTGTGTGTGTGTGCGAACACGCACGCGCACTTGGAGATGGAGCTCCAGCTTCTCGCTTCCTCCAGTCTCCACAGCCTGCCTACAGTGTGGGAGGGGCCTTGCCTCTCTCACCCCCCTCTCCTCCATGGCAGCACATCTGTGAGTGATCAGAAACCACGCTTCAGCAAGAGACGAGTAAAACTGATGTGCCGTTTCCTCGTGGAGGGTACACTAGAACAGGCTTTCAAAATTTAAGTGGAACTGATGTATAATTTCCTAAATAAATCGGCGGTGTCCTCGGCATGCAGGGCTAGAGTAAGGGAGTGGCTAGAGTTTGTGCTGCCTTGTTATTATGGTTGTCTAATCACTGGTCTGGGAGCTGTTTTACATGTGGGTGTCGTCATGTCCGTTAGCCATCTGTCAGCGTTGCGGTTGGTTCACACAACATTTGGAAACCAGTGGGCAGACTTCTGGCAAACTGGAATGTCCGTGTCAAATTTTCTCTTCTTGATAGGGTTGAAGGAAATGTTTTGGCGACTTAAAGCAAAATGCTAAAATCTGTTCTCTGGCATGAAAGAACTGCTGGACGTCACAAGCGGAGTAGATCTATTTATAAATCCGTCTTGGAAAAAACATCATCTGTCACAGGAGAGCCTTGGGATTAAAATAGCAGTTGCTTGGCTGCTCTTTAGCTTTTGTTAAACATTTACCCAGAGGAGCCGAGGAAGTAAGAGCGTAGTTTTGCTCCGCTTTTGTCTCTGGATCCAGCTCAGCGAGGTGATTCATCCACCATGACTGTTCAGCCAGGGCAAGAATTGGGTCATCGAGTTAAAGAGACGTTGTTTTCTTCATTTAGATTCCTTCACTCCTTTCAGAATAAACATCCATATACTTGTTGTGTTATGCATAAGATAACCTAAACTCAGAGAATGGCATAATTATGACTTTGGTGATGGGGTCAGTACAGTAGAGTCAAAGAAAAGGATTGTTTTAATGATATGGGGAAAATGAATGAACAGCGTAGACGAGGGTGTGGAGAGGGACCGTGTTATCAGCTGGAGAGGTTGGGTTTACGGCGTCATGTACTTCATTCATTCCCTCTCGTTCCACTGCAAACAAAGGTTATTTTTCTGTTATTAGAGCTGCACGATATTAGGAAACCTGCACTGCTTGGTATTAATGTTGCGATGACTATGACTTGCAATAAAATAAACAAATACTTAACTCAAGAACAAAACAAATCAAGAACAAAGAAATTAAAACATTCAAAATGACTAAGAATATATAAAATGGGAAAAGCAAAAATTGTGATCAAAAGGTGTGAGGAAAGAGGAAAATGAAAATGAACAAGAAAAGGCAATCAGTGGATCCCGGGAAAAGCAGAATCGGCAGAAAGAGCACAACGAAGCTAACTCAGGTGTTTGCTAACCATCCAAATAAAGCGCTGTCTGCCTAGCGGCGGGCATCTAACCTATCAGAACCCACCCGATTGGCCAAATGGGTGAAGGGCTCTATTTCATTTGTCAAAAACTTCATGCTTCCATTTGATTGACAAAATGCGTTATGTGTTCTTTGTGTTATGCGTATTGTGCATTCTGACATTGCGACGACGAAACATTAGCCCTTGTTGATATATTTTTTAAGTTTGCTGTTTTTCTTCTTTACAGCCTCAAATCCACAGTGTACATTCATTTAGACTTAAACGATATTTCATATATTTTTAAAACGACTTTCTGTGGAAATGTTCAATCTTACCTGTTGCTTGTACTCCCTCTGGCAGTAAAGCAACTTCCGTCTTCAGGTCTCACCTCAAAACCAATTTTTCCCAGTTTGCTTTCCAACATCGTTGACACTGTATTATTGCTTTTTGTTTTGCGTTGCTTGTGTTTATCTATTTATTGTTCTTATGCTCGTTTTCTCTTCCGTTTTAATTGTTATGATGTCTATCTATGGTTTTATATACTGTTCAGCACCTTGGGTTTCCGTTTAGATTGTAGAAGGTGCCAAATAAAATTAGATTTTTAGCTCTTAGAATTACCTCAGTTTTGAGAAACACAGATTAGTTCGATCAGATTGATGAGCTAACAGCTAGTCTGAGCAGGGCTTGGACCAAAAGATGTTTGCTAGCATCTTGAAAGTGTTCCAGTCTATTAAAAGGTGGTTATGCAAGGATTGTGTGTCTTGTAGGGTTGGGTAAAAAATCGATTTAATACATTTTGGATTTTTTTTTAATCGATTTTGCTAAACCGATTCATTAGACCTAAGATCTTTTTTTTTCCCCTCCTTGAACCAGAATGAACTGGGACCGGATCTGCAGGCACTTACAGTTACAAATTTGTTCCAAAAAAATGCTTAATGTGTACCAATATACACAAACTGCACATCTACTACAATCAATCAACTTTATTTATATAGTACTTAATCCTACAATACATGCAACTCAAAGTGCTTAACAAATTAAAAAGGCCCCACACACCCACATTCCCTCCCATCCCCAGAATTTTAGGAACAGTCTGACAATAAAAACCCCTTCACAACACTCCTCCACCGACACACACACGCACACACACACACACATGCCCCCTTCCTCATAGTAAAAACATGATTGGCTGAGATCAGATGAGCCAGACCAGCTAAGGATAAGGAAACACCATCATCTACTTAATGGGAAGAAGCTTATCTAAAGGATAGAAATGTTCTTTTCTGCTTCAGCAACACCCAATTCCAACAATAAAACGCTAAAGGAAGAATCGAATAGAGATTAATCGATTCAGAGCCTTTTGAATCAAAATTGAATCAGTTTTAGAAATTGGCCACAATACCCAGCACCAGTGTTTTGAACTCTAAATTTGAATTAATCTCCAGTCACTTAAACCATGTGATCAACAAATATTATCAGAAGTATTTAGTTGCGTTGTATGTCGCAAAGCATGCTCTCATTTAAACACTTTTCATCCTCTAAAGGCTGAAGAATTATTTTTGATTCTATTTTGATATATTTAAATAAACTAAATACAGTAGGCTTGTTCTTTTTCGTTTAGCTGTTTTGACTCCAGTGTTTAACTCTAACACTTTAATGTACATCTATGCTTGCAGCCTCTTTAAAATGTGAATTCTGGATTAGGTTTTCCTGTTCAATAATCATTTTAAGTAATTGCAGTTTTAACAATGACCAAAATAGCTGAAATTGCAATGTTTTTTCAATAATCAAGCAGCCTTAGTTGATGCAAATTCTATTTTATGAATTGTTACATCACTAAGTTCACATTGGATGGTTATTTACATAGAATCCTTCAGTTATTTGTTAGCCCAAATAACAGCAGCTAGCTGTAGCACATCCATGTAGCCTGGGGCACTAAGTAGAAGAAGAAGAAGAAGAAAATATCATTTCTATAGCGCCTCTCAAGATAAAAATCACGAGGCGCTTCACAAAAACAAAAAATGTAAAAATATAAAAATACATTTAGAAAATTTTTAAAAATATATTTAAAATGAGCAAAAATAGGCAATTGTGATTAAAAATGTTAAGAAAGAGAGAGAGAGTGAATAGGAAAGAGGGAAATCAGTGGATCCTGAGGAAGGTGGAATAGGTGGGGAGAGCAGAATAAAGAGAGTGGTGAAGGTCATACAAAAGCCAGCTTGAACAGGTGAGTCTTCAGCTGCTTTTTGAAGGAGACCACTGAGTCCACTGATCTCAGCCTCAGGGGGAGAGAGATCCAGAGTTTGGGGGCCACAGCAGCAAATGATCTGTCACCTTTGGTCTTTAGCCTGGTGCGCTACACAACCAGCAGGCTTTGATCACTGGACCTCAGGGACCTGCTGGGGGTGTAGGGACAGAGAAGATCACCAATGTAAGATGGTGCTTGTCCATGTAAGGCCCTATAGACCAGAACCAGGATCTTGAAATGAACCCTGAAGTTAACCAGCAGCCAGTGAAGCTGGAGGAGAAGCGGGGTGATGTGGGTGTGTTTGGAGGACTTGGTCAGAAGCCGAGCACAGGCATTCTGAACCACCTGTAGACGGTTCAGGGAGGCTCTGCTCAGACACTTGAAAAGAGAGTTACAGTAGTCTAAGCGTGAGGAGATGAAGGTGTGGATAACTGTCTCAAGTTTAGAGCGGGACAGAATGGGACTCAGCTTAGCAATGTTCCTTAGATGGAAGAAGGAAGAGCGAACAAGAGAACTGACATGAGAATCCAGGGTGAGAGCTGGGTCAAAGGTCACGCCAAGACTCCTGACGGAGGGTTTGGTGTGAGAAGTAAGCTGACCCTAGAGAGTCTCTGATTTTGGGAACCAGCTTGTCTGGGGCACAGATGAGGATCTCAGTCTGATCTTCATTCAGCTGTAGAAAGCTCCCAGCCATCCAGGTTTTGATAGAGTCTAAGCAGGTGTGTAACAGCTTAGACATCTCATGGGGCTTAAAGGAGATGTGCAGTTGGATGTCAAGTAGAAATATTTCTGCCAGAATAAATGATGGTGGTAAAATGTTTATAAAACAGCATTCACGTGAACCACTGTAAACTTGTCTAAAGACAGCGGCAGTTCCCACTGGGCTAGCTGGTAGCTGTTCTTCTCTATTTCTCCAGTCTGAGGTTATTCAAAGAACTATTTACAACACGTTAGAAAGAATTGTTCACTTTAACAGATCAGAACTTTGACTTTACTACGTATCAGATCTAAAAGCTGATTTCTCTGTTCTGACATTAATATTTTAGTCATCGTTTCCTTTAAACTGATCTTTGGCTGCTGGATGTGGGTTTTTTTTTCACATGGGGAAATCACGATTCCCTAAAATCGAACCTGTCCTCCTTTTACACCTTAAAGTGTGACATGTGGTTGATGATTTAACGTGGGAATGAATGCACCCGTGTAGTGTTTCAACCAGAACCATCGTGCTAGGAGGGAAAACCTCCCAGTGGAAGCTAACTCTGTCATTTTTGGTCCGTCACACCTCGTTCATTCAACTACCATTTAATTAAATCTACCCGTGGCTCTGTTGATGAATCTATTCTGGATGAACATCAACAGAGAGAGTTGAGCTGGGAGGTCTAGCCTCTGAAAGTGAAGACTTGGACAAACACTTCCCAGCAGTCACAGAGCCTGGTGCTAATGTTACACTGTGGAAATGCATCAAACTCAAACTGAATGTGAGGGATGAAGTGCTAATCATCTGATCTCCAAACGCTCCTCTGCCGTCGGAACTTCTCCGCCCTAAAGTGATGAAATGCACTCTACTTCTGCTAATCTCGCCATCACGGCTGAGCATCCCAATCCACGTACTTTAGATGAGCCAACGCTTTTAGATCTTCACTCCAAATGTCAGAAATCTAATTTAAAATGACACTCTGCAGTATGCACACTGTACATCAGAATCGGATGGCACAAGGTCAAATAAAGTTTCCCATTCACGTCGCAAATGTCTAGAGAAAAACCCGACTTCAAATGCAAAACGATCTATTTGCACTTAAGTGACAATAAAAACAAATTACATGATATCAAATATTGAAATATCACAATATTTTGTGTTATGACGCTGAATTGATATTTGAAAGTACTTAATCATTTTTTTTTTATTGAGAAGTTGGATGCAAAGATTTACTGCATTTATTTAGTGTGGTGCAATTCAACCTCCAAATGCTAGGTGGCAGCAGTTTTGGAGTGTTTGTTTTTTCAGTGAGTAAAAGTGCAGACTTGAAGTGGAAAAGGGTAGAATGTGTTCTCCAGGTCAGAGACGAGGTCCTGCCTCAAGTGGAGGAGTTTAAGCATCTCGGGGTCTTGTTCACGAGTGAGGGAAAGATGGAGCGTGAGGTCGATAGGCGGATTTGTGCTGCATCTGCAGTGATGCTGGCGTTGTACCGGTCTGTCATGGTGAGGAGAGAGCTGAGTCGAAAGGCCAAGTTCTTGATTTACCGGTCGATCTACGTTCCTACCCTCACCTATGGTCACGAGCGTTGGGTAGTGACCGAAAGAACGAGATCACCGATACAAGCGGCCGAAATTAGTTTGCTCCGCAGAGTGGCTGGGGTCTCCCTTAGAAATAGGGAGAGAAGCTCGGTCATCTGGGAGGGGCTTGGAGTAGACCCGCTGCTCCTCCACGTCCAGAGGAGCCAGTTGAGGTGGCTCGGGCATCTGGTCAGGATGCCTCCTGGCCACCCTGGACATGGGCGGTCGGTGATGTCATGAGCGCATCTCCAAGCACATGGGTGGGGCAAAAGAACTAGGAGATTGTGCAGTGTCTCTATTATGTATTTTCATTTAATATGATCTGACTATATACATCGTTCTAATAGACATTTCACCTTTCCAACAAAAAATGGGTAAGATGTGTGAATTCTCTTGATGATTTGGATCCTTTTCTGTTTCCTAGAACATGAGCGATGCCATGGCGGTGCTGCACAAGCTGCAGACGGGTCTGGATGTAAATGTGAAGTTCACGGGAGTGCGAGTCTTTGAGTACACCCCAGAATGCATTGTGTTTGATCTGCTTGACATTCCTCTTTACCACGGCTGGCTTGTTGACCCCCAGGTGAGATGGATCATATTCTCTCCGGCTTGTTTCTGTCCTCCTCCTGTTTCCACACACAGAAACACTTTTTACTCGGTTGTATTTGGATTCATTGTTATTTATGTAGGATTCGTCAGTTTTTCTCCACGCTGACTGAAGGCGCCACAGCACAGTCGACTGGCTGGAGACTCACTGGCCATTAATAATGCAAATGTTCACATTCTTATAAATTATAACTAGTTTTTATTTCTTCCTAGCAGAAACTGTCTTCTGCTTTTAACAAATAAGTGGTTGTTTTGCACATTTTAGGCGTTTTGTCATGTCCGTTTTTGCTTGTCCTGATTCCAGATAGATGTATTAAGATGTGGAATAATGTCGATACTTGGCATGAAAATGACTTGAAAGAACAAGAGAAACTGTGAATATTATTAGCACCAGTTAAAGTATCTGAATTGTTGTCGAGAGGTAAGTATGAATATCATGCGGAGCTTACATGTGACCAATTAACTATTCTTAGATTTGTAGAAAATAAGTTGTATTAACTTCCTTTGAGTAGTTTTAAAGTGAAGTCTCATTAGACTTCACACACTGGTGACATTTTTTTTCTAAGCATTTGACCCACTATTTTGTGATTTAATCCCCCAATCGAGCTCCTTAAAGCTGTGTCAAGCAGGGAGGCATTAGGTCCAAATTTTAGTCTTTGGTATGACCCAATCGTGAATTTGAACCCATAGTCTCCCAGCATCAGGGCAGACATTCAAACCACTAGGCCACTGAGCTGATTTATGAGAAACATTTAAATTTTTTAGGAATTTAAAGGTGTGGAACTCTGAAAAACATTTTTTAATCTTATTTTTGATTATCGTCAGTCACTAAGATTTTCATGCAGGCTGAACATGAAAATGGTCTTCTACACCTATCTGCTGCATTAAATTCTGATAGAGAATATACTGTGAGGTGCTAGGATTTGAAAACACTGGCAGATCTACGTCACACCGTCACTCAACATTCATGGACTCACCCATTTTGACTCAAGACGGGGAAGGCTGTTGTTGGTTTAGAGTCCAGGAAAGGCAAGAGAACATATTGGATAGTAGAAGCTAACCATTAGCACTGGCATCTCCACAACACAACATAACTTGAGATAAAACATCAACGAAGCACAGCAAACAGAGTCAGTGGTAGAGCTGTGTTGCTTTTAGCCAATCAGAAGCAAGATGTCCAAATATCAGGAAATAAAACTCCTAATCCTGCCGTCTGAAGGTCAGCTCTGATGTGGCTCACTTCTAGTTCCCGAACATGGTGCGCCAGTGCTTTGTTTGCCCAGATTTTAACTTACAAGGCATTCATTCCTACCAGACTTTTCTTCCACACCTTTAAACTCTGTTTCTTTCAATTTCTCACAGTCTTTATCTTTGCTTCCAGATGCATGACATTGTCAAGGCAGTGGGCAACTGCAGCTACAACCAGCTGGTGGAGAAGATAATCTCCTGCAAACAGTCGGACAACAGCGAGCTAGCAGGAGAAGGTGAGCACCTCACTGCTGACAAGCCTGGCTGCTTTCCTATCTTCTGGCTCTTGTCTTTGGTAAACAGAGCTGAAGAAACAAATCCAGTGTTGTGGTTTTAGTTCGTGGCACTTTAGTTACATCCAGTCTGCGTAGAACCACGAACCCCAGCTGAATAAAAGCCAGAGATTGTTTTTAGAATAGCCAAAGTTTGGAGAACTGGAGATCAGCCCTGACCAGATTGATGAGCTAACGGATAGTAGGGGTTACTGTTGTTTTATAGCAACTCTAATCTAAAAATGTCACAGCAGTTCATGTAAACATTTCTAAACCTTTAAATAGTTGATTACATGATTATTTGAATGTAAATCTGTGGTAAATAGCAGCAAAACACAGTATTCTATGTGACTAATCATTTCGAACAAAGCTAATAGCCATGTAAAGGTTCATAAAACATAATTTGCATGAAAAACTATGATTTTAAAACTAAAACCTACATTGGAACCATGATTGGAACTGGTCCCACTCAGACTAGCCATTAGCTCAACCATCGGATCAGAACAAATCTCTGTTCCTCTAAACTGGGATTATTCTAAGAGCTATCATAACCTTTCGGCCTAGTTTATGCTTCTGCGTCAGTGTGGAGACCGGAGACACGCAACGCCATTTTACGTCCTTGCGAGGGCTCTCCAGCAGGCTCGCAAGGACAGACAGAGCCGAGCCCACCTTTCTAAACATCTTCCCAACGAGACGGAGAACGCAAGGTTGTGATTGGTCAGGACGCAGCTTTCTTCGACAGCACCGCTATTGCACCCTCAAAACGAAGAAAGCCGAAGATATCGCGGCAGACACGGAGCAGCTTGAAAACTACCTTGCAGAAAAACTAAAAACATGAACATTTTATGCACTCGTGACTGGAGGAGTAAAAAGATACGCAGCAAGCGTTTTATTCGTGGATGGAAATGATGAGAATCATGGGTTTAGAGGTGACGAGTGCATGAAGAGGTGGAGGAGAACGAGGGACAAATTTGTTCGTGTTAAAAAGTCTCTTAAATACAAAAAAAAACACAATATAAAATGCACCATCTTGGATACATGACACGATACCCCAGAACAGCGCTACGCCCTCTGTTGTCATGGCAGGGAATTGCTTTGCAGCACTTCCCAGGAGACGGAGAGGTCCGAGAGCAAAAAGTCTGTCAGTGGGTGTGCATCCCTCCCTTGTGGAGCAGACGCAGAAGCATAAACTAGGCTTTCCACAGAAACCCACTTGAAATCAATTTAAAATAGAAATCTGGATTTTTTTTTGTCAGAGGGCACCATCTAGAGGCTGAAAAGTGAACTGTACCGTAAGCCCCTCTCCCTAATTCCGCTGAATGCAACACCTCTCGTTCGTTAACACACACCTCTAGCCAGCCGACAGAGCTAAAACATTGTTTTACCACTATTATTCTCACATTGTTGTTTATCCATATAAATGTTTTAAACACTTACACCAACTCTGCATCAGTCAAGGAATTTCCACAAACGTGTGGACCTGCTCTGTGATACGTAAGCAGATATCTAACCTTCTGAATGTGTAACACTGTTTTAAACTGTGGAGTTTGGCGTGTTTTTGAAACGTAGAGTGTAAAAAATTGACTTAACATTAAGAAAGCATCCCTTCCCTTCTGGAACGCGTCCAAAACGCCACACTTTGCTGCCGCTGGAAAGAAACCTGTTCACTAAAACAATGGCTAATTGCAGCGAAGTACGTTTTGCAATGCTTTCACGTCCGGTGGAAAGCCGGGGTAACACGTGGCTAATGCTGAGTGCCGCACAATTTAAATTACACATGGCTCTACGGGACAAGGGCCAGGCTTAGCTACAAAAATGTTATGTGTTGCCTACATTATATCACAATACGTATTTCTAAAAAAAATCATACAAATTTCCTGAAAGGGGTAAAACTCCGGATTGCTGCATTAATAATCAATGTGATGCTCTTTTTTTATTCAAGGAAATTTATGACGGATTCATTCATTTATTGAACATAATTCAATCGATTAAACTCTTCAGACTCATAAGTTTAAAATGTGTGTGGCCAAAAAAGATTTCATTGAATTTTCTATTGCCATTCCCCCCCCACTGGCCTTCTTGTGTCCCAGGAATCGTGGCGGAGCAGTTTCTGAACAGCACGGCCACTCAGCTGACGTACCACGGCTTGTGTGAGCTCACATCCACGGTGCAGGAAGGAGAACTTTGTGTATTTTTCAGAAACAACCACTTCAGCACCATGATCAAGTACAAGGTAACTCCTGGTCTTGCAGATCGATTTGTGTGCCTGTTTGTGACTCTATCTCAAAAACATAAAATAAATGATTATTTTTCCAGAACAATTATTGTAAAGCTCCTATCAAAGATTTTACAGTTAAAGGTGTGGTTTACTCGTTTATTCAACACATTTGCTGTGTTCCCTAATCCAAACCAATGCCTTATGAGTCATTAAAAAAACCTATGATGCTCCTGCTCTGAGATGCAGAAGTTTGCTGTTGCAGAGGTGGGCTGAAAACAGCAAGATTGCTCATTATTATTAATGATATGCACACACCTCACTTCTGATTGGCTAACAGAATGTGTTAAGCCATGTTGCAATGTCGCCATACAGTCACTGTAGGATACTATTTTCATGTTCAGTCTGCATGACAAACTCAGACAGAAAATTTCATGATCAGAAATCATAATAAAAAAAATGTTTTTTCAGTCATCCACACCTTTAAAAGTTGTGCTTCTGAATGCAGCAGGTGTACAGGTAGATAGTTTTGCTCCACATGTGTCCCAGTTTGTAGCAGCTTCTGTTCCCAGCTGGATCAGATCATCAACATTAATATATGGACAATGGGTTTCCATAGGCTCCAATAACAAGTTTTTGTGCTAAAATGGGAGGTGGCCACCACCGCCATTTTGACCGTGTCACAGGTTCCGTCAAGCCCAGACAATTCCATAAAAGGGAAGAGAGGAGGAGCTGAGGGTGGGGCTGTAAGGCTGGGATCAACTGACGACACCCGGTCGAACTAGCTACAAGCTAACCTGAAGCTAACCCAAAGCTAATGCGGAGGTGGGAGCTAAGCTAACGGAGGCAGCAACCTAGCTACAACAACTGGAGTTAACTGTGCACAACACCAGAGCTTCCGAGTTAGAGATACGCCGGGCTGACTGCTGGGTAAAACCAGGTGGAACACTGAGGTCTCGGAGACGTCCACAAGCCGGCAGCTGCACAGCAGACAAGCGCCGCTGCGCAGAGCTGCCGCTGGGGAGAACCGGGTGGAAAGGTTTCCATCCCAGAGCTCCACAAGCTGTCAGCCCGCCGCAGCACACAGAAGCCACGATCAGACAGATGTGCCGAGCTGCGGGGAGAAGTGGCGTATTTTTGCGGTTCTGGCTTGCCATAAGAACCAGCCGTCAGCCCGCCGCAGCACACAGAAGCCGCGATCAGACAGAGATGCACCGAGCTGCTGGGAGAACCAGCCGGCATTCCGGGTGGAAAACATCGGTCTCCGGAGAGCTCCACAAGCCGATAGTCGGAACCCAGCTCCACCAACATGCTATATTTCAACCCATTTTCTAAAGTGCAGCATTATGTTAAATGCACTGGGTTTTACCCTATTACATTTAAATTTCATGGTTAAACAGTACATGTTAAAATCTAAGCTCAGCTCGGCAGTGACCTAAAATACATAAATATAATTTTACTTACCGAAAAAAATGAAGTGGAGACTCCTTGGACGCTCTATTAGAGCAATTAATGCCACAGCAAGTCATTTTGTCCAACAATTGCACAAATAATATCCAAAAAAGAATACACAAACACAAAGACTCAAAATGCCGGAGCAGTTTCCAAGCCAGACTGAGGCTCTACTGAGGCCTTTCCATCCACGGAGCTAACTCTGTGGTCACGTGGGTTGGATGCTCAGTAATTATACAGAATTTTAGGCTTTTAATACACTTAAACAAAAGAGTGAGAAAAAAATTCACCCCCTCAGAGTTGTCATGAGTATAAACTAGATAATTTAAACAAAAACATGTTTTGGTACCAGGCTGTAAACATGTTTATTTCTGCTGTGAAATTGGTATTTTTAACATGGGAGTCAATGAGGATTTGCTCGCTTCTGATACCAGCCCCCAGCAGATGAGGGTGGAACTGCAATTTTTGGTACTTCCGGGTTGGGACCAATTTCAGAGCCGCATTGTGGGGGCTTGGGTCAGACCCAGTGCCTAATTTGTAAATCAAACTTTCCCAGAATGCAAATACTGATGTCAAACCAAAGTTCATTAAAGGCAAAGCAGATGCCAGAACACGCAGGGGTGGGGGGGTTGACAAGTAATTAAAATTGCGCCCACATTTTCAAAGTTATCACACATCTCTTTTAACAACGGTAGTTTTAGCATCTCCGTTCCCCTGCTTCAGCCCTCTCCCCCCTCCCCCTACGCAGCGGCGCAAACTCACTGGTGCGCCTGCAGCCTCTCAGTTCCTGCATATCTAAACATTGAAAGAATCATTTCATTTTCTGTTCCTCACTTCTGATTACTTCAGTGGTGTCTGTTTGTTGCAACCACCAGGTACAAAAACGAACTTGTTTTTATTTGACTATTTTTCTGTCCTGTCTCTGTTATCTTCCTGCATCTCCTCTCAATCCTGAAGAAAAACTGCTACCTGGCTTCATGTATTTTCACCTCATGAATTACCTTTTAACTGCAGTTCAAAAAGATCTACCGACCGCAAAAATAGCGGAGTGTGCACCGCGCACAGACCACACTGGTGCGGTGAAGTCACCAGGGAACCAAACAGGTGATGCGCTCTGCACCGCAGCAGCGTAACGCATCAGGCACAAATAAAAGACAGAAAGCATGAAAGGTTATGAGCCGACATAAACGATCGCGTGTCAACTTTGTTTTTGAGGTGGCGACACTTTGAGAATGTTACTGTGGCCGTTCTCAGGACGCATCTGTCTGGAGCGCATCGACGATCAGAGCTCTGCGCCTCTCAGCTCTAAATAATCCCCCGAGAGTCCACATAGATAATGTAATGTAAGTAGAACCAGGGTCGTTTTCAGGCCATCTTGGGTGTGGAAGTTGAGGGCTTCCAGGAGCTCCCTTTAGCGCATCTGTAATTCGAATCCTGCGTATAGCACAAGTTTGTCGCATGAGTTGCCGGATCCTAGCAGACAGTTGCCGGAACGGTCCTTTCAAAATAAAATAGTTCCCGGATCTTGTTCCGGCAAGATTCGGCTCAAATTGTGTCCTGATCAGAACTTTCCTGTTATCTACAGGAGGGGAAGTGTGAGTTTGCCAACCTACATTTAGATAAGCACACGATTGTTGCCAATGCTTGCCAAAGTTGTGTGTGTATCTGATAACACTCACAAAGACTCAAGCCCACCAAACCACAGTGGGCATGAGAGTAAGGACATGAGTGGTGAAAAAGGTACACTTGAAAACTTAATGCATCTCTAGTCGGTAAAAATATACACTAATTCAGTGTAAACACAATTGTTGTTTTTTCCAGGGCCAGCTGTACCTTTTGGTTACAGACCAAGGTTTCCTGACGGAGGAGAAGGTCGTCTGGGAGAGTCTGCACAATGTCGATGGGGATGGAAACTTTTGCGACTCTGAGTTTCGGTTGCGACCTCCCTCTGATCCAGAGACGGTGTACTCCGGCCAGCAGGATCAGATAGACCAGGTCTGAGTACGCCAGTGCCCGCCAGCAGAAGCAGTGATCATTTTAGTGAAACTGACCAAAGTGCATTGCTGTTGTCTCAACACCATTTTTGTTTTGTTATCCTTATTCCTTCACAGTCGAAATTAAAGGCATGCTATGCAACTTTCATATTTTAAATCATTTACTTGAGCTTGTATGTGCCAAAATGACCCTTTACGGGGTTAATGAAGTGTCACTCGGACCCCACTGGCCTCTGTGGCCAGAATACCGCACTTGCAACTTCAGAGTCCCTGTTGGACTTAAGCCTGATTTATACTTCTCCGTGAGTTCCCCAGTGGAGATGCACACGGAGTGTCGGAAAGGTTTTCACATTCGAACTTCTGTTTAGGACAACAAAGGGCGTAGCGCTGTTCTGAGGTATCCTGCTACCAGAACACTCACGTATCTGGTCCACAATAGTGTATTTACTAATGTGTATATACATTTCATAGACTTTATAACACGGACACACTTGTCCTTCATTCTCCTCCACCTCTTCACCTCTAATCCCACATTTCCCGTCGTTTCCGTGCACGTTTGCTCCATATTTTGTACTCCTTCACTCACGGGTGGATAAACATTCATATTTTCAGACTTTTTTCCGTGATGCGTTCTTTAATCTGTTCTGGGTCTGCCGCTAAATGTCTGTTTACTTTTTAATAGAGCTATAGCAGTGCTGGTGACGAATATACAGGAAGCGGCATCCTGACCAATCACAAGCTTGCGTTTTCTGTCACTTTCGACGAATGTTCAAAATTTTGGGCGTGTCGTTGTCACCCTCTGTGAGCCTGTTGGAGAGCCCTTGCGCCGACGCATCATGGTGTCACTTCACCGACGCAGACGGAGAAGTATAAATCAGGCTTTAGTAAAGTGGATGTGACATTCCTAGCGCTGCAGTCTGCTCCCAGCACATTTCCTATATGTTTCAGATCCTGAACACAGCTTATTTGTTTGATTTACTGACAAATCACTCCTGTTTACACTAATGAAGGCTGGGGAGACATTTCAGCTGTTAGATTAAGATGTTATAAAGACAAACGCACAGCAAGGAGATAGTAAAAACAAAAGTGAAACCTAACGGACACTAGGGGGTGCTAAAAACAAACAAATGTCTAAGAAGCTATTAATTATTTCTTATTTGATTAAAGCTGTTTCCTATTAAAAAATGGATTTAGATAATTTAAAATTACTCGTGGCAAAACAGCATATTTTTCTAAAAATAAATCTTAATCTATATGTAAAAAAACGGTTACTATTACTCCTGGGAAAAAATATATAATTAACAGCCAGATAAAGGAGCTCTGATCTCAATTCTGTCAGTTACTTGCTGTAGCTTAGTATTTCTTGTGTTCATCATCAGGACTACCTGATGGCGCTGTCGCTGCAACAGGAGCAGCAAATCCAAGACTTACAGTGGGAGCAGCTCCCTGAAGGCATCAGTGACCTGGAACTGGCAAAAAAGCTCCAGGAGGAGGAGGACCGACGAGCCTCTCAGTACTACCAGGAGCAGGAGCAAGCAGCAGCAGCAGCAGCACAGGCACAGGTGGGGGTGGAGGTGGAGGAGGAGGTTTTTCCTGTTCAAACAAAAAATGTTGCTTTTTGTTGTTGTCTATGTTCGAGATGTTTTGATCACATTCCTGAAGGAATGGGGAGACATTTCAGCTGTTAGATTCCTGAAGGGATGTGTAAGCTGTGCTAATAGAGCTTCATTTTGCATTTTTCTTAGTTGATTTTAAACATCTCTGACTTTGTACTCTCCTGTGTGTGCAGCAGGAGCCTGTGGAGGGAGGCGATGGGGACAGAGGAGCAGCAGGAGCAGGTGGGGCAGCAGCAGGTTCTGGGACTGCAGCGGCCTCCGGAGCAACCCCCAGTCCGGGGAAACATTCAGCAGGTGGGGAGCGCAAAACCAAGAAAGAGCCGAAAGAAAAAGACAAGTGTGTTATTTTGTAACACACAGCGTGCCTGAGTGAGTGAGCAAAGGAGTGAGCGAGCGAGTGAATGAGCGAGTATGTGTGTGTTTTGTGCTTATCTGTGTAAAAGGAGACAGCATTTGTTTCTACGAGGACTGGACTCATCAACATGCAGCTCCTGTTTGACAACAAACATGGGAAGGAGGATCGGCTGTTCCCAAACCACTGGTGCCTGCTATCCTCTGTCCTCAGTGGAACCTGAACATCACAGGACGGGACACTACAACAACGACTACCCCTGATCTTTCTTAGCGTCGGCCAGACTTTTGTACGAGTAGCTCTCCTCACTATATTTGTGATGTAGGCTGAGAATTAACTGCATATTTTATACTGAACGTTATTATCTTAAGACACAACTATCATGTTCTTTTTTCATTTCGTCACTTAAGCAGCTTTATAAGCTTTTTTTTAACACGCATCAATATTTACAAAACATCTGCAATCAGCTGTAGATGCCAAGAGTCACAGTCTGTGTTACTGTTAGATTTTGTTTTTTCCTTCTCTTTGTAAGCTGATAAGGGATTCTGTTGGAAATCAGTGTTTAGCACCACTTGTGAAACACTAAGGGTTAACAATCCAGACACTAGCTCTGTCCTAATACAACCCACAGCTCGCCCTGTTCAGATTTGCCTTACCAGAAGGCGGCGTTGCCGTATTCTTGTCTGAGTGTTGGTTTAAGTGAAAACAATAGCGAGCGTTTTCGAAGTAACAAGTTTTAAAATAGCCAATCTGTTGTTTTTATGCTGTATTAAGTTAAAGGTTTTGAACATTTATCTTTTTTTTTGTGATTATATTTAGCTGAATCTCTGTTAGGGGCTTTTTTTTTGTCGTAGTTGTTTACATGTTTTGCAGATTAGAGTTCAGTGAGTTAGAAGGCTCGTTTTCTATGGAAATTAGGCGTGTTTGTGCAGAAACTGACATAAGTTTTGTCTCCTGGATGTGGAGACTGGTGACAAATTACAGGTAAAACTGAGGTTTCCCATCATTCACTTCTTACCTAGAAAAATAACTAAGATTATACATTTCCAGATTGGAGTGATCTCTTTCAGGATGACAATATCGCCATCTACAGGGCATGAGGGGTTACAGAATTGTCGGAAAACTACTGTTCCAGAACCTTTTTGTTGATCTACGCCAAAGTTTATTGCAGATGTTTTTCCTTTAGTTTGTCACCCAATCATCGCTTCTGTTTCATCGGGTTTTGCTAAGAAAATCTGTCATATTTAGTAACACACATTAATTTTTTAAACCAGTGTGTTTTTGTGGCCAAAAGTCACCAAACCTGCACAAGATTTTAAATCTGTGCAGTTTCTGATCTAGTTACAGTGCTGAGAGGCTGCTGTAGCTGTCCACTCATTTATTCATCTGGCTTCATGTCAAATTCACCTTATTTAGCTTCATAGTAAAACTTAGTTTTTTGATTTCAGAGGGGTCTCTTGTGTTAATGAAATTGAAAAGCTGTGCTTAGAACTGCAGGATGCAAACTACTTTGGTATCCCTTTTCAGGTTTGAGCACGCAGACACAGTGTACATATTTACTTGCTGCATCTTTCTGATGCTTGTTATTTGTTCATGCCATTGTTGTGCCACAGGTCTGCCTCCTGACACGTTATTTTATTTCTACCTGTACATTCCAGTCGGTTGCCTTGAATCGAGCCCTCTCTGGTTGCAGACACACCTCACTAAGGTCTTCGCAGTGCCGGTGAATCAGTCTCTGCTTATTTCTACTGGGACAATAGGGGGCATAGTTGGAGGCAGCAGGCCACCTGCCATGGTAGCTCCACCCGGCGGCAGGAAGCTGAGCGCCGTGCTTGCTTGCTTGGTCCCCTAAAACAAGGCTGAGTTTTGAGACAATCCATGCATTCTCCACAACAAGACAACTCTCAGGCCTTTTGAAGGAATTTATCTCCTTTTAAATGGTATATTTCTTTTTAAGAGCATAGCTCATCGGCCTGCAGTTGTCAACTTTTTACTCTATACACACACACACACACACACACACACCCCTTAGAAGGATTTAACACCATCACATATGTAAACCTAAAGTTTTGAACTACACACTAAAAACAGATGACAGTGCTGCCACAAAACCTCAGCAGACAGGGTTAAAGAATGTTAGATTTGTGCTTTTCATCAGTTTCACACTATTTTAATATTCAGCCTAATTTCCCGAGGCCCGTTAGCTGAACATATTCAGCTTTCCAGTCAAGTTATTTTTTATTTTTATGAATTAGTTTTTTTTTTTGCTTTCAGTTGGATTGTGTTTGAAGGGAGTTAGATGGGGTGACATGCCACTTTTTCAAATGTACTACTGTGCATTTAGCTCGCTGTTCTCAATCATTGTTTCTAGAACCTCATGTTACGTGTTGGTTGCAACCCGGGGTTCCAACGACAAATGGATCAGAAGGATATTACGTGTTCGGTTTCTCTTAAAGTGGATTCTTGTTGTAAAGTGATTGTGGGGTAAATGCTGTACAAGGAAAAAAGGTGATTGTGGAGCATATATATATATAAATATTTCATTTTGCAATTGGTTTTGCACTGTCACATTGATATGCACTAAAGGAAAAGAAACATACCTCATTTTCTATAGAACCTAAATAGTACAGGAGTGCTGTTTTTTTTTTGGGTACCTTAAAAGAAAAATAACGGCCAAATTAATTCTCATTAGTTGCTCTTAAACCAGCTGAATTATTTTAGTCAATTTTACTAAAGGGCTGATCAGATGTTTTGGCTTCAAATGAAGTTAATTTGTCAAAAGGCAGCATCAGTTCAGGAGAACTTGGCTGCATTTGATTCTACTGCTCAGGTTAGTGGTACATCTATGGCAGTCTGAAGGCTGCTTACAGCAGTCGTTTTAGATCACATGTAAGGATAAATGTCAGATGAAAATCCCTTTTTATTAAGATTTAGAAGGTAAAATCTAGGGGGGGAAATGACTAGGTTTGTAAGCATACTCCTTAATTAAGTAGAAAGATTTCTAGTCTGGTCCATCATTTCACTACGCGATGTTCTCAATGAAGAGTAACAAGCTCTAAATAAGGGAAAGGCCCGTTTTCCTGAGGCGTGAGTGCTGAAGATCTTTTCTTTAATGCAATATCAAACTTCAAGGTTTTCCTCTGACAAGCATGTGTGTGTACTGAAACACACAAGATCGTTATTTACCACTCAGTTTCCACTCTATGGCATGTTACATTTATTTTTCACATTAACAATCAAAAAGGAAAGTGTTAAAGAATATGGGAGGATACTCATTAGTGTCAATTTTATTGTTCATCTATTTACTTAAATGACCAAATAATGTATGTAGCCTTTCACCTCAAGTCACATATTGTATATGGTGATGTGTATATAAAAAATTATATATAATTATATATAAAACAATGCCTTATAGACGAGTGACATTCGACCTGAGTAGAAGTTACCTGGATAATAAACAGAAGTCAATAATGGGTTTGTTGTCTTTCTTTTATAGAAGATATTTTCACACTTTCACTTAACTGGACAGAAACAGGAAGTCCAGTCAGTCTGCAGAGCGCTTCGTGACAGAGCTATTACATGCCAACTCAATCTAAATATCTTTGTAACCTACAACAGGCTTGCTGCTGCTGCTGATTGAATTTGACAGAATTTAATGCATCTTTTGATTATCTCAATTTTTTGTTGCTAACCACAATTTGAGCAATCACTCACTGATTTAATTACTTCATTAACCACTTACAACAGGAGTGTAGGTAAAGCTTAGTACAAAATCTGTACGTGTGCAGGATGTTTGCTGGAATTATCGACTCACATTTTGAAATGAAAAAAACCATTGAAATGACAAAAATCAACTTTACTGAAGTTATTTAGTCCACTTTGTTTTTCGTACTGCATCAACACATTCCAATTCAAAACCTTCAGACTGGGCTCCCAAACAATTCAGTTCTAGTAAAACGGAAAAATCTAGTCTGCTAATTTAAGCAGTTACTGAAGTAACTCAGTGATGAGACACTAAAAAAGACCCTCCGACTTTAAACTGTGCCGGTTTAGTTTAGGAGGAAAACTCCAAACAGACCAGTGTGAGTTCCAACAAACGTCACAAACTGTGATGCAGGACAAGCACCAACTTGACCTTCTGTTTAAGCTACTTCAATCTCTACAAAATAAAACTACACCAGGACTGAAGTTAAAACAAATGATTAAAAAAAAAAAACAAATTCAGAACGATGTTGACCTCAACACACTATACAGAAAAACTGAGTTGACGGTACACTATTGGAAACATACTAATAACAAACGTGTTACAAAGACCGAAGGCTTTACAATATCATCTTAAGTATGAAAACATATTAACAGGGTTTTTTCATAACAGCAGAACTGTGGAAAACTCCAGACTGAGGTCAACACTTTTTAAACAATAAAATAGTTCCATCAACCTCACGGCTGCAAACGAGCCACCAATCTGTTCTACTTTTAAAAATAAAACCCAAAAATTCTTCAAATATTTGATGGTTTAAAGTGGAAAAAGTCAGTTGCTGTTAGAATGGCCGTGATGTTCCTTTGAAGGACTTGAATCCACCCACGGTGCTACCACCGGGAATCGAGCTAGTGATCTGTACAACTCGGCTCAATCCTGATGAGTGACTGCAGAGAGACAAAGGTTGTGTCTATAATGGCTGTGAGAAAGACCCACCACCGAACCCTCTCATTACTCGTCTATTTCGTATACCTAGAAGCAGCCATCATGCCACTGCGGCTGTCTCCCATCCTACAGTTGTTGGAGAAGACCCCTCCCTGGGAGCTGGAACCGCTGTGCCACTCTTTCCTCAGTCCTTGCTCCCTGCTATGGCGCTCCACCACAACCTGTCGGCCAGAGCTAAAAGGCTGCAGGGGCAAAAAACATTGGGAGTCAGATTTTGTAAGAATGCATGACTAGATGTAAACGAGCAAGAGTTTAAACAGTTTAAAAGGAAACAAATTACAGAGCATTATGGGCTCGATACACGGGAGGCGACATCGCCTCTCCTCCATTTTCAATGAGACATGCGCGACAAAGCGATAATCGCGGGTCTCCCTCCTAAGCAAAACGCAAAAAACATGCGTGTGAAATTTTGCGCTCGTGCACGTGTTGAGCATCAGGCGACCCAGTGACGCGATCCCAGAAAGTTGAAATATTTTCTACTTTTCATCGCTGTCGCTCGGACAAGGACCAATTAGCGGAGGTTTCATTCACTGACCAATGAGCGGACAGGATGCTCCGTACATCTCAGAGCAAACATGGAGAAGTTGATACTTGCTGTGACAGATTTCCCAGAACTGTACAATATTCCTACCAAAGAATATAGATATTCACAAAAAGGCCGCGGCATGGGAAATTGTTGGTGCCAGAATTAACACATCAGGTAAGTGTACTTTACAAACGCAAAACGTTTTTGTACGTTTATCTAGCAGCACCTTGTGAAACATCATATCTACCGCTTTAACTCTGAACCGCTTAAATAACCTTAATTCCCTCCAACCTGACACAGCCAATCAAAACATCGGAAGATTTGATTTTGCCGTGGAACAGAACGTGTCGACGGTAATAAAAGTGACAGAGATGAATTTCGCTGATCGTGGTCGTTTTTCGCCTCCCGTGTATCAAGCCCATTAGTTGGGAGTTGATGGTGATGTTTGCAAGATGCACCTTTGCTGCAGATTATCTTTTTCCTCATAAAATTATAGATCACAGCCTGGCTGACTATTAGAGGCATCACTCTAGATAAAAGTGGGGTATAAAAACACCTTTTTGTTGCATTTCGTGACTTCCTTCCATCAGTCTAAATGTTTTGGATCCAAAAACATCCCTTTAGATGAGCTGACCTGATCATTCATTGCCATCGGTCTCCTCTCATCTCGATCAGAGAAGCTGCTCCTTCCACGATTTATTGAGGACCCGTCTCCGCCTGGTCGTTCTGTACGCAGACGCATTGGTCCTCTACACGAAACAAAACCAGATTATACAAGTCTGATTTTAAAAACAATTTAACGCAGCTGCTTTTATTAAATACAGCTTTGTTTTGATTTTTACCGTATTTCTCCCTTGCTTGAGTTAATTCCTCCATCACTCTTCCATCCCTGCCCCCCATCTCTTGGTGTGCGGCTGTGCGACACAGCAGACATCGTAGGCCGTGCACTCATAGGACGATCGTGCATGGGCGTCGGACGCCTGTCGTCTCTGTCCCTGCGATCGGTGTCTGCACGTGGAGGTGGTTCCGGTCTGCGAACGGTGTTGAAGTCCTTTGGATATCTATCAAAGCTCGAGGCTTCTCTGTGAGGAGCTGGGCGGCTCTTCTTTGCCTCTGGCTCACCTTCAAACCGACTACGCCTTGAAATTCAAACTTAAAATTAGCTCGGGTTTTGAAAAAGCCACAACAATAGCACAGGATGAGGGCGCTACAATGTATTTCATAATTGTGTTTGGAATAATTAGAGTTGTTATGAGATGAGTGTTAAGTTACTGATGGAGTAAGGCTCACGTACCTGTCATATGCATTAGACTGTTGGATTCCAGCATCTGGAAAACGGCCTCTCTCGTGGGAATCAATGTTTTGAAAGCGGTTCTGCTGCCGGTTGTAACTGGAGCCCTGGTTCAAACGGACCTCGGACTCAGGCTGCACCTTCTTGTTTCCATTCCAGTAAGGACCATCACGCCGACTGAAACAAACAAGCACCAACAGGCCTCGTGACTCAAAAGCAACAATTAAATAGTGCTACCATGGGTTAGCTTGTGCAATATGGAAAAAATTCCTTTCATATCGGTCTATATTGATATATCACAATATAAAAGAAATCGCTGATTTTGTCAATCTTTAACGTTCTCTAGTGTTTTTAAGTGGGATTAGAAAATATATTTTTAGTTTCAACGGTTTATTTTCAAAAACCGAACATTTTAAATTATATAACAGTTTTGTTTTAATAAAATAATTATTTTAACACTAAACTTTTCAAGCATTAAAGAACAAAAAACAGGCTCTAAAAATTTCCCTAAAGCTTCATTAACTGCCAGCCATTTCCTGATCAGAAAAGCCCTTCACTGCCAGCGTTTTTACAGTTTTTTTTAAGAGTCACAAAGTTGCGCGCCAGGATGATGTCGATGCCAAAACTAACAAAACAAAGAGTAGACTCCTCCTACATCAGGAACAATCTGCGCGTTTCGAGCGTTATCCGTTCTTTCATAATCCGCTGTCGAATTGTGATCGGCAGAAGCTTTTCCAGTTCGTGCCTCACTTTTTTTACAGCAGCGGTCCCAAAACGATCTCCTAACACATGGATTTTCTGCTTCCCGATCACCTGACATGTGACGCATGCGGATGAAGATTGGCTTTAGAGCTGGGATGTTTGTTCTCATGGTGCGGGGGCTTGTTCCGACGCCCAAAAAGTTAAAAAAAATGTAAATGACGACTTTAGTCGTCACTGGCAGGGAATGAGTTAAGAATAAGCAACACTAATAAATATGACACAAAACAATATTTTACATCAGTGAAAATTTAAGCAGCTTCAAAAGAAAAAAAATAAAACAATAAAATAAGACTGCGTACAAAGACGAGACTTTGAAAGTATTATATCCTCTGTTGCTTTAAGAATCTATTATGCAAGGATTGATTAGTTTAGTTTGCTGAAATCTGCATTTAGAAATATATATTGCCATCGCCTAGCCGTACCATGGGTGATTGTTAGGAGTTATAGCAATGTTTTTTTGTCCAAGCTGGCTTTTGCCTGACCTTCGTCACCATGCTCTCCTTATTCTGTTCTTATTCCGCCTTTCCCGGGATCCATAGATTTTTCTCTTTCCTATTCATTTTCTCTCTCCCTTTCCTTACATTTTTTTCTTTTCTCCTTTTAAACATATTTTAAATCATTTTGGAAATCTCCTCGCCTCGTGATTTTTATCTTGAGAGGTGCTATATAAAAGACTGTCTTCTTCTTAAAGTGGCTTTCATTGTCTGTAAAGCAAAAATCTAACAACTTGAGGTATGTTACATAAATGCTATCAGTCAATAGCTGAACAAAAACACCGAAGTCAGCGTTTCCCCTACATAGGCTCAGGCGTGGTGCTGTGCCATGGCCGAAATTCCAGCGCCACGCTTATGAGAATATTTAGCTCCAACCCCCACATAAATATCCAATGTAAGGATCCAACAAGAGGGCTGATGAACTTCCACCATATGTGCTTATAAAATTTACAACAGATGAATGACAAAAAGAAAAGTCTATCAATACCCATGTTCCACCTCACGGCCTCTCTTCAGGTTGTTTCTCTTTTCCTGTTCAAATCTGAGCTGCTCCTGCTGCCGGCGAAGCTCCTCTCGTTCACGGGCCATGCGCTCGGCCTCTTTGCGTCTTTCCTACAGCGCAAGAAATATTTAATTAAGGCTATGGTAAAATGCTGTGCATGATATCTGAAAGTAAGTCTTCCTTCAATTAAGTTGCTGCAGAGAAAAGGTGCATCAAGGATTTTAGAAATTGTTCAAAAGGTTTTGTGTTTTATAGCAAAGCATTTTTAAAGAGCTGCACTCAGTTGTATTGAAGTATGTTTTCATTTGAATTGAAAGCTGTAGAGTTCTGACATAAAGAACTGAAACCTTAACGGTGACTAAAAGTGCCCTGCAGTCCTAAGAAAAAGCTATTTGAGTCATTCTACCTGCTCCAGGCGGATTCGCTCCCTTTCAAGCCTCTCTCTCTCAAAGCGTTCTCTTTCCAGCTTTTGTTTCTCAAACTCCAGTCTCTGTCGCTCCTGGAATAGGCGTTCCCGTTCCCGCATCAGACGGATTCGCTCACGCTCCTGGCGTTCCCGTTCTACATTTTCACGCCGCCTTAAGATGACAATTACCACAGTATTTCAGGTTGAAAACACTTTTGATGTGAAGCCATTCAGTATCTGATGAATAAGTGAACAGTGCCTCCCTGCTGGATACCTGCGCATCTCTGTTGCGGCATGAAAACGCTCCATCCGTTCCTGTTCCTGTTTCTGCTCTTTCAACTTATCAAAAGGCAAGATCTGAAAGTCCTCTCCTTTGTTGGAAAAAAGCTGCTGTTTTCTTATTAATGCCAACTAAAATGGGAGAGAGAATGGAGTAAAACATTTCAGTTTAAGCAAATATGTAGCATGTGTGCAGCATGTAGCAGATAAAAAAAAAAAGTGTACCTCTTCTGGAGGAATTAACCCCCTTGGCTGCCTTTGAACATTGGTATTAACAGAGGGCTGGAAAAATGTAAAACATTCATATTTATTACCCTGCATTTCAAAATAAAACCACCGTAAAAATGCCACAAAAACATTTTTGAACAAAGTGAATTTTGCTTTTGAATAAACTTTCTTTACCTTGTCTGGGCTCTTTGTTCCTGTGGAGGGGGAGGATTACAGAAAATCAGAAAACAGCCATTTGACAAACCAAACTCTTCATGTTATGGTCTGAAGGAGGAAAACTTACGGCCACGCTTTTTGTCTTCTTTCTTTGCAGAATCTAGTCCCGAGTTGGATGAAACTGGCCCAGACTTTTTACCTTTAGATTCCTGATTTTTGATTGAATCTTTGCCTTTATCCGACTGCTTGTCAGATTTCTTATCTTCTTTTTTACAAGATGGCGACAGTCTGAATATACAAGAAAACAACTGGTTATAACCGGCTTTAAATGAATAAATCAGCATGAGCCTGGGTCGTTACTCACTTGTTTGCTGGTTTTGTCCCAGTGGAGCTGTGCTTATTTGGTTTGCTGGAACTTGATTTGTCTTCCACTTCCTTCTTTGATTCCTTGGGTTCCTTTTTGAATGGATCATTTTTGGCCTAAAATATTTTTTATAAATAAAAAATAAACAAGCAGACATGAACGTTCACTGGAAACCAACCTACAGTTTTGTTTATCAATAACAAACTTAAGTTATTGTCTTTTCTTCTGTACCCTTTCAACATATATCTGCTGCCCATGAAGCTCCGTAAAGTCGAGGTGGGAAATACAGCGCGCCACCTCCGTGCTAGAAGACATCGTCACCAAGCCGTAACATCGTGAACCAGGACTGCGAGCATTTGTAACCACCTTGGCACTTAAAACCTGTTGGGGACATTTTTACAACAGAGAAGAACGTTCTGTGATACATTTATATACATTTATTTAAATTATAATTTCATCCGTTTTAAAGGTTACCTTTCCATATTTTCCAAACAGATTCTTCAGATCAGCTGCTTTGGTGTTTGAGGACAGGCCGCTCACCCATATGTTACGGGAAGAGGTGCTGCTGCTGACAACTGCTGACAACACATTTTCAAAAACGTGTATTCAACAGAAACTTGTATAAAATGTGTACACCATCATAATGAATGAAATAAGAGCTTTTGATCATTTCATACATTCTTCCATCTCACCGTTTTCCTCTTTTGCAGCTTTCCCATCTTGATCTCTTGAGGAGCTAAAAAGTAAAAGTCGCCACAACAAACAGGCAATGAGTAAAGGCAAATAAAAAACATAATGTGCCGCTGTGACAGACATTTCTCACAGAGGAAAATGTGTTTTCAAACACGGCCCAAAAAAATTCAAATCCTTTAGGCAGGTGTAGATCTGAACCATTGTTTCAAAGCCTTCATTGTTTTTTCCACTGGTGAGATGGGTCAAGTTGTGAGCCAATTTACTCCCTGGATCAATGAAATCTTCAGAGGTTTGTTCAACTTCAGTGAATCATTTGACCAAAAAAGGGGCGGAAAAATCATCAAGGAGTCTAATGCGGTTTTACACTGCCATGTGTAGAAACTGCAAAAGGCTTTAGAGCTGCTGGAACGGTCGAAGTAACAAAACAAGAGATGTTTTCTCAGCTCCAGGTTAATGTCACAACTTAACCAACTTCTGAGAAACAAATCAAGGCAGTAAACTGCAGGATTAGGTACATCAGTGAACATTCTCCTTATGGCAAAAAATAAAAAAAATCTTGAGGCTACCCACAAAGGTGCGTTCTTAGTGAGCTGGACTTGGTAGGAGTATCAAAGAACTGACATAGAAAGACAAACCTCTTTGCTTGACCTGAGGCCCCTGTAGCAGAAAGGCCTTTCTTCCCAGAATCCTTGTCTTTGTCTTTGTCTTCGGAGTTGGCTTTCATTGCGTCATCTCTGTCGTCGTTCATTGTGGGGTCACATCTGGATCCATCATCTTTCTTACCATCTTGGTGGCCCTCCTTTTCATCCTTCATGCCATGTTCTGGACTCATGTCAGCACTGGTCTCCATCTCATCAGGGCTCTTGTCTGCTTCTGGATCTGGAAGTTTCACTTGTTTACCTGTTTCCAGGAGATCATCGCCATCAACCTCTAGGGTGATGGCATCTTCATTTGGGATTGAGACAGACAGGTGATCATCTTCTACATCTCTGGAGGAACACTGGGCTTCAGCATGCACCTCAACCACTTCACTCTCAGCCTCTGGATCTGGATCAGGATCAGCGTCGGGGTCAGCGTCTTCATCTGCCTCTGGCTCCGTCTCCTCATCTACCTCTGGATCAGGCTCTGAATCTGCATCAGCCGCCATAACTTCTAACGCTGGTTCAGCCTCAGAGTGAGCAAGGCTGTCCTCACAGGGTGGAGGTTTAGAATTTTCACGACTACCATCATCTGTATCAGTTACATCTGAGGGATTTAATGAGGATAAACATGGCAGAAACAGAACTTTTAAAATGACATGTCGCATCTTACTTGATCTAAAAAGTAGAATATAAAGCACAGAGTGGGTTAATGGTCATCAGAGCGCAGATACCACAGGAAGTCACAAAATACACAATCTTCACTGAAAACGAGATGATTCAGCTCCTTGTTTCTTGACATGCTAGACTTGAGCTGCTTTTCAACAAGTCTGCAATTCCTCAGGCTTCCTAAATTGTGCAGCATATCGCCAGATGCAAACAATTCAACTATGTCCAAAACATGGATGAAGAATCATCTAGGTCCTCATCTTGCTTCCCTCACTGCGTGAGACAGATGGAAATCGTGGAAAATCTGAAGAAATCCTCTGATAATTCTTCGGGAATAATCTCTCTGCGGAATTCAAATCTCCAAAAAATAGTTTTGCCTCATCTTTTCAACTTGCTGAAATTGTCTCCAGAAAAAATAATAAAAAGGTGTGAAAAGGAGAAAAGTAGCCTTTTAGTATATCAGTCTCTCCAGCCAAGATGAGTATGCCATCATATATTCAGGACTTCTTCCTGCACACCTGAGTAAGAAGGCAACGTAGTAAAAATTGTCCCTTGAGCAAAACTGGCTTGGGGGTCGCATGACGGTGGTCTGCGGGCCACATAAACTGCAGATTTCAGGGAGTCAGAAGATGTGAGAAGTGCTGCTCCTCTTCCAGGAGTCTACTGATCTGTCTTCTAGAGGAGGATGTTGCTTTGTGGATTTCTTTCAGACCAAAGAACCACTATGTTACAAGTTTATGATGCAGCAGTCCAGGCATGAGCAAAACTCCAACTTAATTTATTGGCTTTTTTGCGATGAAAAGTTTCCTGAGTCCCATTGAAAAAGGGGTACAAGGTGTATTCAGGTCTGCCCACCCAATACATCTGATGCCAGTTTGTCCAACCATGATGGGAAAACATGTGGACTGTAGAGCTAAACGAACCTAAAAGGTTCCAAGCACTTGATTCGTTCAGTTGAGTTCATGTGAAATATATCCGTGAATCCTCACTCTTTGTTTCCTCCGATAACGTTGAAAGTTTGGTGTAGAGGCAACAACGATGAAAAGTAGAAGATGACTTCTTATAAAACGTTGAGAAGTGCGAGGAGGTTGACAACTAAATAAAACAACCAAGATTCAAAGGAACTCTGTAGTTGAAACCACCGAAAAAAATTTAACCCATAAAGTGATTCTTCAGAACGGTCTGCGTCCATTTCTCCCTTGTAAAGGTTGTTGTCCTTTATTGTTCCCCAAGTCACAGAAGCATGAAATGTCATGTGCTGTGCTATGCATGAGTATTAACAAAGGGGTCATCGTACATGTTTACTGTGGGGGGAAAACCCCCGGGTCAGTGTGTCACCATACATACCTTTTTCTGATTCATACTCATCGGCTTCCTGGAAAGAGAAAACACTGACGTGAGATCCCATTTCTTTGTGTAAACAGAAAACTATTTTATTTTAGTCACAAATTTATTAGATCAGACTTGAAATATTTGTAATCAATATTTCAATTAGTTTAAAAGTTTTTTTTGCTTTGAAATAAAGCAATACAAAATAAGGTGATCAGTTGGATAGAGATAAACGAAGATGATCCCAATGAAAAACGTTTCAACAAATAACACATGCAGAGTTCATGCAAAACAAACAAACAAAAAATAAAAAGTATGTTAAATTCACCTTGGAAAAGGAGCACTCTTCTGTTGTCGTGTCCAGATCAGAATCTACCCTCTTCCCTGAAAAATTCCAATGATCCAACACTTTACAGAAAATACATGCATTTAATTTTACATGGCAAGTAATAATGTTTATGGAATCGTTACCCTTCGCTTTCCCACTTTTCCTTGGTGGTGTCTCAGTAGAAAGCTGAATTTCAAAGTTTTCACTGTCCCCACCTTCATCTTCAATAGCCTTAAGAGTGAAATAACAGGAGGGTTTAATTAAAGAAATACTTTGCAACATTTTCATATTTTATATAATTTTCTTGAGCAAGTCCCTGCTAAAACGACTCTTTACAGCAGACCTGGGCATTTTACGGCCCGCGGGCCACATCCGGCCCTTTGGTTGACTTTGACCGGCCCGCGTAAGGTTAATTGGAAATTACAAAATAAATGTATTTTCTCATTTTACCTCATGCATGGGCTAAGGCTGCATTGCTTTTATTTTGAAGTTGTTTTTTACGTGCACAATGACGCAATACGTATAGCAACAAGTGCCCGCGGTTGACATGGTGATTGTAGCCTGAGAAATGTCCGCTCATGCAAAAAAAAAAAAAAAAAAAAAAAAAAAAAAGAAAGATGCCGAATGCAGGATTTTCAACAAAAATTGGACTGCTAAGTATTTTTTTTACTGAAGTCGGAGGTAAAGCCGTGTGTTTGGTTTGCGGGGAGGAGATTGCCGTGTTTAAGGACTACAATTTGAGTCGGCATTACGACAATAAACACTCGGAAAAATACAAGAACTCATCTGATGCTGAGAGCTGAGAGGGCACGGACATCCGAAGCTTTGCTTGCAAAGTTGCAAAAGCAGCAAGGCTGTTTTACTAAGCTTCACACATCCAGGGATGCAGCAGCCAGGACCAGCTTTGTGATATCCCACAAAATAGCTAAAAACAGCAAGCCGTTTTCGGAGGGAGAGTTTGTCAAAGAGTGCATGGTGGACTCTGCCGCACTAATATGCCCTGAAAAAAAAGGCGCATTTGAGCAAATCCCGCTGTCCAGGCGAACCGTGACCAGGAGGATCGAGGACATTGCGGGGAACCTGGAGCTTCAGCTGCAACGTGAAGTGGCAAGTTTTGACTTTTTCTCATTAGACGGGAGCTGTGATGTCCGGGACACAGCCCAGCTGCTCGTATTTGTCCGGGGATAACGGACTTCAAGCTCACAGAGGAGCGGGCAGCAATGCGGTCGATGAAAGGGACAACGACAGGGAGTGATGTTTCTACAGAGGTAAATGCGTGCACGGACACTCTGGGATTGAAATGGGAGAGACTGTCAGGTGTCACAACAGACGGTTGTCCAAATCTTAAGCCGGGCGTACACTGTGCGACTTTTTCACTTTTTTGAGCCGATTTTCCAGTCGTGCGAGAAGCCACGACATCGGGGCGAGTTTTGCGCCGAGCGGTCGTGTAGTGTACAGGGGGTTACGAGAGGCGATTAACACCACGTGACCAGCCGCCGATCAGCAGTCGTGAGGTCGCACTCTGGTGTGTTTAATATTTCGCTCGTCCCTCGTGAGGGTATCGCACTGTTGAAGCGGCGCTGCGAGCAGCTGCGACCCAAAAAGTATCAGAACCGCTCACGGCGCATGCGCGCGCAATCCTGCATCAACGCCGGTCGCTCGCTATTTCCCCTAATAACACACGCTGTTCGTTTTTGTTTCTACACGTTTTTTTTACTCACAAAGATTGTCAAGAAAGCGTGTTTGTCGTGTTCATGTCAAATTAAACTGATCACAAAACACAGATTTACTTTCTTTATTTCGTTTTCCTCATCCAACCCCTATAAATCCCTGTGTGTCCTCCTGCAGCACTCCCGAAGGACAACAGGCAAGACAAGACAAAAAACTCTGACGTGTTGAGTAAAAACTGCTATTTTTAGCACATTTTTAGGGCCGACGTGTTGCTACCAGACGTACAGTGTGAGCAGTCAGGTCGCATCCGAGAACTGGGTCGTACAGTGTGAGCACATGACTCGTGAGATCTGCTCTGCGAGGAAGTCGTACACTTTGAGCTGAAGCTGAGTGCTGCGAGTGAAAAAGTTGCACAGTGTACGCCCGGCTTTACATGGAAAAATGTCGGACTTTTGAAACGCATGCAAGATAAAGTGACAGAAATCGATGCAGATCAAAAATAGGTGTTTTTGCATTGAATTATACACCAACATGTGTTGTGCAAGTCAGTGCTAAAAATCAACCATGTTACTGATGTTGTTACTAAAACAATAAACTTCATCAGGGCGCGGGCGATGGATCACAGACAGTTTGTGGCTCTTTTGGAGGACTCCACACAGCTGTCAGATGGCTCAGCCTGGGGAAAGTGCTGAAGAGGGTTTGGGACTTGAAAGCAGAGATTCAGGATCTCTGCTGGATTTCTACTCTTCTCTTAAGGAGGACTTTCCAAACCTGAAGAGACATGCTCAGAAGATGTTGGTTCTCTTCAGCTCTACCTACATTTGTGAACAAACATTTTCAATGATGAAGTTTACAAAATCCAGGTATAGATCCTCTCTCACTGATGATCATTTGTCAGCTGTGCTTCGCTTCTCCACCTCAGACATTCAACCTGACTTTGATGCACTCGTTAAAGCCCAGCAGAGACTAGATTTCTCTCACTGAATAAGAAAAAAATCACTTAAAAACACAAAATAAGGTGTTTGGACCACAAATGTAGGCAACTAGCAGTGAACTGGGACACTTTTTTTAAACCTCTTTCTCAAGATCACAGTTCAGTGATTTTATTTTACAGACAATACTGTGTGTCTGTAGAATGCTAAGAACCTCTTTCCAACAATATTTGAAACTCAAAATGTGTTTTGGAGTGAATGTGACTGAAACTGTTAACTAATATAAGTCACAAATGTTTAACAAAAACCAAATGTGCACACTTTGTTTACCATTGCCTTGGGAAATTTGAATAAATCACATTTTTGTAAGACAACCTCACTTTTTCCTTTTTGCTCATTTATAACATATAGTCTACTCTTACCAGCTTGAAGAAACAATGGTATTTACTGGTTTTTATAAAGAAATACCATTAATATTATGCATAATTGACTTCAGCCTTTTGGCCTGGCCCTCCACAATATTTTCTATTTCTCATGTGGCCCCATGGAAAAAATAATTGCCCACCCCTGCTTTACAGGGTTAATGAAGTGCCACCCAGCACCTATCACCCCCTGTGGCCAGAGTACCCATTTACAGCTTCATAGTTACTGGTCCACTCTGTTGGATTTAGATAAAGTGGAGCGGACAGGCCAGCGCTGCAGGTGGCTTCCAGCACGTTTCCTGCATGTTTTAGATCATGAACACAGCTGATTTGTTTAATTTAGTGATGAATTACTGCTCTAGACACTTAGGAAGGCTGGGAGACGTTTCAGCTGTTAGATTAAGGTGTTAAAAAGACGAAGGCACAGCAACACGACAGGTTTTTGTTCAACAAATGGACACTAGGGGGTGCTAAAAGCAAGCCTAAACTGCCTAGTCTCCCTTTAACACTAAATGCGTGATGTCAAACTTTATTTGCCTTGTCTTTTAAAGGTTTGTGGTTTTAGCTGTGGTACAGTGAATGTGTGAGCTGTCAATCATCGGGATATTAACCACCACCAGTTGTCATCAGATCACTCTAGCAGGGTTTCCCTTACATAGGCGTAGCCGTGGCGGGCCGCCACGCCTACAAGATCCCAAGTTTTATTTATTTTGCGCTGTTTCCCGAAGAAGCAGCGGGAACTACTATGTTGTCGCTTGTGATCACAGCCGGTGGGCAGCAAGAAGAAAGGAGCAGGCAGAGCAAGGTGCAGTTACAGCATAAGTTACTGAGTTTAAAATTAGAAAGGTAGCAGTGGATATAATGCATTTTGGTTTACATGTTTCAATAGCATTAAGATAAACGAGTGTTGACGATGTTGACAGGGTTTCCTCCAGTGCTTATTAGGCCAGGTTCTCCTCCCCCCACCAGGCTAAGCATCACTTATTCATGTAAAATTTATTTATTTTTTCATGTCTGACTTTAACCGCATCTAATACTGTATTACGACGTGAGCGCAACAGCAACAACTTAAGATCGATGCGTGAGCAGCCTGAGAGGTCGGGTGTTTCATCTAAACCCTTAAAACCTCCAGCAGGCTAAGCTGCACTATTGACGTGTTAGCACGCGGCGCTAACAACTTAGCGACGTGACACGTCTCGGAGAAAGCGTAAAAACACGTTGGACGCTTCTTCTGGAGCGGGAAAATAACGCTTCTTCTTAAGCAGAGCACGACGTCGCCTCGGCTCGTTCACGGCCGAGCCGGTACCGGACTGGGCTCGATATCTGACCCAGCACAGCCACTGGGTCGTTGGAGCTGCCCCGTGACTGCCTGATGGAAATCCAGCGGGTTTCATCAGACTCGTAAAGTTTCTTGTTTTTGCTGGGGACCCCCTGTATTTTACCGCTCCCTCCTGCAGTCTTCCCCTATTAACATTTAAAATGATTCTGTAAATTCTGTGTATCAATAGAAAAAATCTCTGCCTCTACCAGCTGCAGTAAATGTAGTTTCCAAATAATAAGAGGTGCATTCATCTGTGTATCTCCCTTGATGCGCATTAGTGATATTCTCAGCACCAGAACAGCGAAGCAAACAAAGATTCCTGAGTTTGTTAGTAATTTTATTCATTAGGTGCATCTGACCTGTTCTATTTTACTCTGAAATGAGATCAAATCAGTGCTTCTATGGGTTGTCTCCAATCTGCACTGGAAATCCCCCCCCCCCCCCCCCCCCACACACACACACACAGCTGGAAAAATTCCTAGGGGAAACACTGTCTAGTCATCATTACATTTAGAATTAAGTACATTAACATTTCACATTGTATACATTCGAGTTGATACTTCTTGTCTGATCCTTGGATCTCTGGAACCAGCTGGGGGTGAAGGGACACCAATGTATGATGGTGATTTTTCATGTAAGGCCCTAAAAACCAGAACCAGGATCTTGAACTCTGAAGTTAACCAGTAGCCAGTAAAGCTGGAAGAGAAGCGGGGTGACATGGGCATGCTTCTGTGATTTGGTCAGAAGCCGAGCACAGGCATTCTGAACCACCTATAATTGGTTCAGGGAAGTTTTGCTAGTCTAAGCAGGTATGAAAAAGCTACAGTTTAGACATCTCATGGGGCTTAAAGATGTACATTTGAATGTCATTTGCATAAAGATGGT